CAGGGAAGATGAGGGCCCCTTTTACATCGAGACTTCTCCAGCTGCGGGAATATTTCCCCATGCAAGAAGCTAATCTTGTTTCCTGAGAGAGACACAAGGGGTCAAAGAGGAATTGAGGAATGGGTAGGACCTTCCAAGTCAGATTCGACCTCTTTTTCCTCCTTCTATTTTTTCTTTCTTCCCTCCCTGAATCTGAGCCTTCAAGTTCATTGTCTTAGAAAAACAAGGAGCTCTGACTTCCTTGATCTGTAGGAAGAGAAGGTGTCCAACGCCAGTTGCTTTGCAAGCCGGTTGTGTCTGGACTGTGGTTAGGCTGTGAACTGCTTGTCTTCAGTCAAAGCAGGAGGAAGAGAAGACTCTTCTTTGACTCCAGAGGGAACCCCTGAGCCCTTTCTCTTTGTGTTAAGAAGGCTTTTGAAGACAATAGGTGGAGAAGATTGTGAACTTCCGAGGACGAGGAATGTCCTGAGTGTTTGGAGTTTGATAAATTGGGAAAGGTAAACATAATCATACATTCAGGATTGAAAACTCCGCCCTCTATGTACCTCGTGACAGGGTCCCCCATCCTCATGACAGGGAACAATGACTCTTTGCAAGAAAACAGAGGACCCCACCCTGCCGTGCGGAACACCAGGCAGCCTTCCAGGGCGTCACAATCCCAGACCTTTAGTGATTCCTTGTGTCACGTCACCAGTACCCTGTGTTCTTCAGAAAGCCATTAACATTCAGTTAGAGCCACCAAACCCTGGGATACAAGGAGGAGGTCGTGTTCAGCCGAGATGAGGTCAAAGTCACGGTTTAACAAGGGAGGAATCGGTGTGCGGTGGAGAACGTCTTTACCATGGGGTTGGATGGGGGGGCAGTCCTTCCTTGCGTAGAAGTGGGTTTGGGGTAAAGTAATGTATCCAGAAGCGCAATAAAGAGTCCAGCCAGGAAGCACGTATTCTAGAGTGTTCTGGCATCACAGCCCTCACATGAGAGCCGACACAGCAAGAATTAGGAGGTGATCACTGTTTTGGTTAGGGGCGGAGCAGCTCCTGGAACCTTCTCGTGAGTCAGATGTTGTGAGTTATTGTGCCTTCGGCCTTCACACGCACGGGACAAGGTGTTCTCAGTGCCCTGAGGATAGGTGACTGTCATGCGGATCTATCCAAGAGGTCATGTGGCCTTCTGCTGCTGCCTGGTGTGAAAACAAAACTTACAGAGGCGTCTCTGATTGGGGAAGGTGAGAGTTTTTAACTGAGACGGCTAGATATCAGAGCTCGTGGCACAGCACCTACTCTCCCAGAGGCACATGGCTGTTTTGGGGCCCTCTTACTCCTAATGCCCACTTGGTGAGACCGGTGGGTCCCCACCTCACAAGAGGCGTGTCCAGGAAGTGCCCTGGGGGCTCTCACCTTCCACCTGCGAGCAGTCTAGATGTCGATCTCTGAGGCCCGGCCTCTCCGTTCTTGTGGACTTTGGGTTGGAGGCTCTCATCCTGAGAAATTCAATCAGTCCCCAGATTGGCAAACGCGAGGTTAAGTGTTCTGGCAGGGAACCTGAGATGGGTTGTGAAGTCACCGTGGGAAAGAGCCAGGACTCGGAGGAGCAGTTTATGAATGTAACAGCACAGTGGCAAAGGCCATCCATGTGACATACACACATGAATTGTTTAATTTCAGCATTTGTAACGATAGGAATGCCCAGTTCCGTCAGAAGTCCCAGCAGGCGCCACTGTCGGCATCGGTTGGGGACAGCTCTAAGGGCTCACCCAGGGCTCACTCCATGGGGCTCTCAGCAGAGAAAACCCTGGCTGGTTGCTAATGGCTCCCATCAGTAGTTGGCTTTCTCTGCCGATCGGGCATGTTCAAGGCAAAGTACACTTTGGTTTTTAGGTCAATTAGGGCATAAATCAAGGCGAATAGAACCCAACCCCAGCTTCTCGGGCTGAGATTTTTCCTTGGTTAACTCATTGCTTTTGCATCAGAACAGACTTGGATCTCGTTCTGTACGACACTGGAGTTCAGGAAACCGCCCACATGTAACTCAGCAGGTCTCATCCATCACGTCCAGTCTCTTCTCTGCCACATTCTGATCCCTCGGGGGATTGTAAGCGCCAGCTCCTCATAATAAATAGTGGCTCACTGAATCATTTCTTATAAAGGGCCCTGATCATCTTTCAGTCTCATCAGCTCTCTGGCCATCGAAGACTCAGTAACAGGAAAAAGTCTCTATATATCAGACTTCCTGGCTTTCAGAAGGCAGTTTGCAGAAGACCAAACCACATTCAGATTTAGTTTCTCCGATCCAGAGAAAGCGAGCAGCTTAGTGCTTATCCTGAGCCTGGCTGAAGTCTGCTGGACTGAAGCTCCGAGCCAGGGCGCTGACGAGCCTAAAATCTGTTTATGAGACCCACCAGGAAGCTTAGAAAGATTCTGGAACGAGCCCCCTGGCTGGACAGCTTCCCTCATCCCCCAGCTCCTGATGGACGGGCTCTGACCCTCATTCCACCCCCGCCCAACTTCACATCTTTGGGGGCCACCTCTGCTGTTCTTCTCTCAGTTTGTGCCTTTTTGGTGAGAATCTCTGAGCTAGTTGCCTCAGTCACAGAATAAACAGCATCAGCTTGGCCCACAGTCTATATGAAAACAAGGACGCGTCGGCAGGTCCTGCTCTTAATTGATTTTTCAGCTCACAGCGGCCAGACTGTAACTGGTCGGCGCAGACTGGAGTCGCTGAGGCCTAGGCAGGCCCAGTGGTGTCCCGTGTGTCCTGGAAGGAATTTACCTGACTCAGTCTTGCTTTCTGGTCTTTTCCAGGAGGTCAGGAAGGCAGCGGCCTTCACTCCTGCATACTACCTGTGTGTCTGTCGGTGTCAGCTTCTGAGACAGTCTCCAACTCCATCCCCTGCCCTGGACTGGCACCTTTGTCCCCCTTGAGGCCACACTAGGCAGCCTTACAAGAGCTATGTGTTTTTTTGGAGGAAGATGATCTTTAATAAATGTAACAATCGTAATTTTCACCATTTCTTCCTTTATACGAAGAACAGAAGCTTCCCACTCCTGCAGTCCCATCCTGGGTTAGACATCACCTCCAATTTTGTACTTGGCGATGGGGACTGACACGCCTCCTAGAGCGAGCTGCTTCCCCTGGGAGTCCAGCGGCTTCTCTGGGGAGAGAATGGCTGCCGCCTGCCCCTGCCCGGCCACAGGGCTGCAGGGCTGCCCCCGACGCATGCAGTGAGCGGCTCCTTCCATTCTTGCAGGCTGGCCTGCTTCCCAGGCTGCAGCGGGCGCGCATGCGCGCACACGCACGCACACACGCGCACGCACACACGCACAGAGCTAGGAAGACTTCCATCTTTTATGAACCTGCTTCATTCGTTCACACTGTCCCAATGCCAGAGAAACCAGTCGAAAGGTTATCTTTGTTCTTTTTCATTGCCTCCTTATGTCAGAGTTAGTTGGGGATCCTTTTGTCATTGAGTCCCAAATGGGTGCTGACCCCAGCGTCCCCTAGCTGTCATCCTCACAGAGGTGCATTCCAGTGTGGAAAGAGGCGGAGGAGGAAATGGGGCTTCTGCACTCGGCTTTTGTCCTCGCTCCTCCCCCCCTCCACCTCCCCGCCCCCGGGAAGCACAGGTCCCGAAAGCCTGTGTGTAGACCCCTCCTCCCACGAGGCCTCGTAGGGGTCGTCCTGAGCCTTGGGTTGCAGGCCTCATGTCTGAGGAGTTGAAGTCCCAGGCATTGTTCTAGACTGACCCCTGAGTAGCTGCTCCCTTAGCCCCCAGACGGCTTTGACATGGAAGAGGTCCTGGCCACCAAGCTGCTGTATCCAAGGAAAGTGTTGGTGGAGCCAGCATTGGCCTTGTGTGGGCTGGGGCAGTGGGGCTCGAAGGGGGATTACTGCACCCCAGACCTTTTCCCGCTTTGGGGGACGACAGCATGAGGCAGCTGGACAGCAAACTCAGCCCTTCTCCAGCGGGATGTGGGGGGCAGAGCACACCTCACATGGGCATCTGTTGAGGATTTCTAGAAGAGTCAGCATATCCAAAGGCACACAGAAATGACTTCGCCTTACATTCTGTCCTACTGCTTGCTCACACTAGTTTCTTCTGAGGAGAGTTGTCAGCATCAGTTTTCTCATGGCTCTGAGTCAGCCGTTTCAGACCCAGCACAAGGGTCTAGCAGTTTCTGGAAAGTTCTCTGGGTGAGGGTGTCTTCCTGTGTCGTCCTTCCCAAGCCCCGGCCTCCCAGCTTTTCCAGGACTAAGAGGCTTACCGCATGCCTGTGGGATTGTTTTTAGAAGAGACTGAAGGCGAGGATTTCAGGGTATGGGGTCTAGGAGTGTCTGAATCTTTCCTGGCCAGGCACCTTTTCTTCTCCAGGTCACCAAAGGGGTTACAGTGGAAGACGCGAGCTCCAGGACTTGTTAGGCATCTTTGTGCACCGTGTCCAGGGTGTGAGCTGTGAGCAGGACAGACAGAGTGGGGCCCCGCAGCAGGAGAGAGGCACCAGACAGGCACATTAGATCATTTCTGACCGTGACACGCAAAGCAGTGTAGAGGCCCAAGAGAGGCCGGAGGGTGGAGAACTGCTCCCGCTCTGGCAGCAAAGTAGGCAGGGGCGGGGCCCTGGTTCGCCTTGGAGGAGGATGGGGGGGCCCCGTGAAGTGGACCTGCAGGGGAAGCTTTCTAGGCCTTGGGACTAGCACATGGAGAGGTAGCCCTGAGGCGGGAACAGTGCTGACGTGCACAGGAAACAGGAAGGAGACAGGCTGGAGTGTGACAGCAAGGACAGGTGGTGCGAGATGGACCAGGCGTCCTGGTTAGCAGTCCCGGACCCTGAGAGGTGGAGTGAAGGCCCAGAGGCCCCATCTCCTGGTCTGGGGAGAGGGTCCTTAAGCATCACATGCTTAAGGTAATCCGAGTACCTGAGGTTTTGGGGTATCATTAGCAGGGGTAAGGAAGTTAGGTGTGGTTAAGAGAGCCCCAAAATACATGAAGCAAACCTGGCAGAACTGAAGGGAGAAGCAGACAGTTCAGTCAGGACAGTCGGAGACCTCAGTGCCACACTTTCGGTTGTCGGTAGGACACCCAGACGGATGGGGACTTCGACTCGAACAGCACAGACCCAGGCCGCCCCGGCGTGTCTGCAGAGCGCTCCACCCAGCAGCCACAGAGTAGACGCTCCCCTCACGGACACGCGGGACGTTCTCCAGGGTGGACCACTTGCTAGGCCGCAGAACCAGTCTCCGAATCTCAAAGGATTGAAATCATACAGTCTTCTCCGACCATTGCAGAAGGAGCCTTGGAAGAGTCACACACGGAAACGAACTGCACGGCCAGCAGGGCAGAGGAAAGCCGGGCGAGGCGGCCTCTGCGGCAGCCGAGGAAGCACAAGGAAACATGGGCCGTTGCTCTGCCGCAGCCCGGGGGACATGGGCTTCCACGGCTGCTCCACGGCCCCTTACTGAGCCGATGCCGAGCAGGCTCCTGCTGTGTGGGGCCGCGGGCCAGTCCCCCGGGAACTTGGAGTCTGGCGGGGACCCTGCCGCAGTCGGAGTGAGAGGGCTGCCAGAGGACCAAGGGCTTTGTTCTCACACAAGATGTCGAGGGAAGGAGGGCATCGGTGGATGAGGGAACAGCGTCTCCAGAGTCCAGAGACGGTGGCTGTTTCCAGGTCCCAGAGTCAGTCTAGGAAGTGGCAGATCCCACAGGACCTGCAGAGCCACAGGACTTGAGGATAGGGGCAGAGGTGGACCTGGGATGGGGGCCCCGCCGCGAAGGAGTTGGAGGGAGGCCGGAGCCTGCACCCTCGTAATGCTACTCAGGGACGGGCGTCATCCCAAGAGAGAAGGCCTGACGTGGCCGTGACAGCTCTGTGCTGCCGGATGTCATGCTGGACCCTGGCCTGCAGACTCACGGTGCTGCGGGAGTGCATCTCAGCCCCCATGCTAAGTCCCGCGCTCCAGACCTTCCTCTTATCCTCTCTGAGGGTCCCCAGACCTGGCCCCTCAACTCCCATCTGCCCCCAGAACATTGCTCCGCATCCAGCTCTCCAGTTCAGGCCTAAGCTCTGAGCTCTGAAGCCCCGCCCAAGAGTGAAGGTCCAGCAGACTGGAGCCTGCTGGGAGAGGGTGGCCACACCAGGTGTGTGGGGCCACAAACGCGACGGTTACAAGGCCAGGTGCTGGGCTGAGCAGGCATCACCTACTTATCCTGTTGACCCCTTGCCACCTCCCTGTGGGGGAGATGTCAGCACCCCCTTGTCCAAGGGAGCTACTTTGCCAAGGTTTCTTGTTTGGGCAGTGGCAGAGCTGGGGGAAACTACCTGGGTCTACAAGCCTTCGAGGGGATGTCGAGCAGTTCGCGCTCTTTGTGGTCCCCGTGGTTAGTTCACAGCTGCCCCGGAGACTGTTGAACCCATTATCCCAAGGGTTTACATTCTCCAAGCACTTGGATGGATGGTCCTCTCTGAGCCTCCCAGTCCGCCAGGTCACACTTGGAGACAGTGTCATTCTTACCTTCACAGACACTTCTAGGGAGCTCTTAGGACACGGACTTGGAGCAAGAAGCCCAGGTGGGCTTTTCTGGCTCAAACTCGACTCATCAGCTCACACAGGAGAGGTGTCCAGCTTAGGACCCTTCGCTCACTGTCCAGGCTCTCACCATCCTACAGGACACGGATCCACACACTCTGGATCCAAACACCACCACAAGCTTTGTAAAAGATTGTAAAAACAAAAACAATATATAACGTGGCCCACGAAGCTGGAAATGCTTTCTGGACCTTTCTGAAAAAGTGTGCTACCCCCAGCTTTAGGAGATTCTCACCAGTGCAGAATCTGAGGTCCCTGCCTTCAGACGGACGGGGAGAGAGCGCCAGGTCACCAGAGTCCAGCTGCCCGGCTTTAGGAGGTCCCCCGGGCTCCCTTGTCAGCAGGGAGCGGGTTACTGCTCCACGCCGTTCGGGCTTCACGTGCGCCGTCTGGGTTCATTCCTCACAGCTCCCCCAGGCAGCTGGTCATCATTTAGCTGAACTTGAGCCCTAGAGGCTTTTCTGGAAAACTGGCTTCTCTGCTGGCCCTTAAACAGTGCCCCAGGAGGAAAGGTGTCCACCCTCCTTGGTTGCTTTTGGCTGCTGAGTTCTCGAGAAGCACAGGTCCCTGAGAATGGATGGTCGTGCGAGTCGTGTGTTGTCCCGGATTGGGAGGGGACTCATTTTAAGGCATCTTAATCGCTAGTTGTTCATATTCTGAAACTAAAGGTGGTTACGGAGATTCTCCAGCCACCTTCCCTCCCAGCAGGCGTTCATTCCGTGGGTTCTGTACTCTGCTAAACTGTTGACCGCACTTGACGGTCCTGTTCCCAGTGCTTTGCAGCAGACTCTGGTCCACGGCATCAGGGCTCCGAGTTGCCCTGGAAACAGCAGTCTACCTTGAAATGATTCTTACCGCCTGTTGGATGTGCCAGGGCAAGGCATGGAGACCACCACGATCCTCTGTTGTGCGACCGTTTTAAACAGTCCCACTGCCCATCAGAGTGGAGAGAGGGTCACTCTCCAGCTCTCAGCAAAACAAGTTTTGGCCAGATAGTTTCGCTGTGTTTGAATTGGGGGGTGGCACGCCCGCTAGCTGTAACCTATGGAAAGACGAACTGATCCTCGTGCCGTGTATGTGCTCTCTGTCGTTCAGAGGGCTCCCTAGCGTGTGGCCAGCTCAGCCAGGTGCAGAAGGTTCATGGGGGAGGTTTTGAGTGTTAGGCTGAAAGTCTCTGATGGGTGGGTGGCCGAGCTCGGGGAGTTCGCCCTCAGCGCCGGTTTTCGGGACCTGCACATCATGGAACTCGCACTGGTAGGCGAGAGGGCAGCCTGGCCCCCTCTTCCACCCTGAAATGTGCTCTCGTTTCAGAGGTCAGCGGGAGGCTCCAGCCCCGAAGGTGGAGAAGGTGAGGAAACCTCTAAATCATTTCACCATCTTCGATTATAAAAGCGGAAGCACCTTGATTTTTTTCCTCCTCCTCTTCTCATTACTTTCCGTAGATTCTGACCGAGAAGATGGAAGTTACTGCCCTCCCGTCAAACGAGAAAGGACGTCCTCTTTAACCCAGTTCCCGCCTTCGCAGTCAGGTAACAGTTGCAGACTTTTATTGAATGGTGAAAGCATCCATGTTTATAAGCCCACCGAGCCCTTCCAGCATCTCATGCCATCATCCGTCTCCTGTCCAGATCCAGTTAGAATCAGTGAGACTTGGTCTCTGTCACAGTAAGATTAGAGCTTGCCTGGGATGCAGCACCAGGTGCCCCAGCCTGGGATCGGTGACACTTATGGAGGCGTGTGACCTAGTGGACTGATAAGGAAGATGCCCAAGAAAAATGACCCCTCTGAAATGGAGGGTGAGGACTGTCAGCGCTGTTGGGGGCTCTGACCGCTAATTACATGTCCACCTTCCAGAGGCTGCTGGCTGTGTCCATAAACTGGAGGTGTGGGAAGTGACCCTGTGCCATGTACCAACAGCTTGGTCCAGTTGAGAATCGCATGTGCGTGTGCACACACACACACATGGTGCATAGTGAGCTGAGTGGCTTCAACAGACACTTTGGTCGTGGAATGCCATGAGCTCCCAGAGGGGGTTTGGTGGAGCCTTGAAGAGTGGGCCAGGCTGGGGCCCTGCAGAGGTGGCTGGATGGTGCACAGTCTGAGCACATGCACGAAGGCCGGTAGACGAGCAAGGCTTGTTCAAAGGTTGGTGCAGGAGAGGGACAGGCTCCAGGGTAGAGAGGCGCTAGGGCGACTTTGTGATGCTTTGTGAGCCTGTGAACGCCCCTGCTCATTGGAGGCTGAACGCTGTCGCAAGCTGCTCCTCTCGTCCCCGTCTCATCTGGACTTGGTCCACCCTTAGACTGTCCCGTGTTCCCTCTCTTGGCCTCCGTGGCACTGACTTAGAGGCACACATGTATTGGGAGAGTATCTCCAGTTACACAAGTTAAAGTTCATTCTGGTGTGTTTATATAAAACATTCTATAACCGTGAACTTTAAGGATACCATTTTAAGGGAAAAAGGTCACTCTTGGAAGCTTTGTTTCTGCTTATAAAAGTAATGCACACCTTACAGAAACGGTAGTGCAGAAAGTGCGCGCCCTTTCAAGGTTGTCGCTGTAACACACTTGATTTGCTACCTGTTTACCTTAATGCTTTTTTTTGGACGTTGCCATTTCCTTTTTCACTACTGCTTAAGACCCCCGTGCATGGGTATGCTGTCACTCGCTGACGAGGCACCATCTGGACAGTCTGCAGTCCAGGCTACAGTGGATATCCCTTTTTAAGGGTCACTACTGCTCGTTACATAGGTGTTCCTATGAAATGAGGGGGCTCCTGCTCCCCGGCTGTGATTGTGTTCCTTCCGTTTACAGCCTACTGCTAAACCCCACTCTCTGCATCCAGAAGGTGCAGCAGAGACGAGACCAGGTGATTTGTGCTGCGGCCCTAGGCCGCAGGGGCAGAGGGCCCCAGACAGCCCCGCTCCTCTGGTGTGTTGGTCCAGGAAATTCTCGGCTCCCGGTTGTCAGGGGAAGCAGATGTGTGGTGCCAGTAAGATCCTAAACAGGTGACAGGATGGCGTACAGCCAACTTTTCGAGCCCCAACTGGTGACAAGGAGCTATGACTGAGGCTCGGCCCCAGGTAAGACTCGGAACATCTAGCTTGTTCCGCTTACCTCCTGGCTGCCCCCACAGGGTGCCAGGGCATAGACAGGGGCACAAAGACAAGAGGTGGCCACAGTAGACCAGAGTCAACTGCTAGACTCCAGCTAGAGGTCCTGGCTGGAGAGCCCCCGTCTTGCTGCAGACAGTGTTGGGTGTCCAAAGGCCTCGGTCATAATGCCGACCCCACCTCCTGCTCCACAGTGGGGCTTGGGGAACGACCCCTCGGGGGAGAGGTAGCACATCTGCCCCGCCGACTCACTCTGTTTTTCCTCTTGTTCCCTCCCCTGTCTGCACCTCCTTGCTGACAGTATCAAAAAACAATGTTTTTATGCCATCAACCTTCTGCGAGCCATCTGCAGGCAATTCTGACTCAGAACCAGGTGAGAACTCACTTCCCTTTGCCTTTCACAGCCAGTCACTGGGGGTTTTCCTGGGATGAAAAGCAGTTGCTATTGTAAAATAACATCTTAACAGGAGTGGGCAGTTGGAAATCGGGGTTCTTTTTCAGTTTCCAAATGTGTTCCCAACATTTCAGTTTGTGCATTTGGAATCTGGTGTGAGACACGCTTCGTATTTCTGCTTCTGCAAGCAAGGCCTAGTTACAAGGAGTTTTACATCTTTTTTGGTGGGGGGAAAAAGGGAAAGGAAGCACGAAAAGAAGGAAAGAAAGAGATATATTGCTCATTTTTCACAATTTTACACGAGTAATACGTTCGTGTTTTTAAAAGGCAGATTGGAAACTCACAGACTTGAAGAGTCTGCCTGCCCCTTTGCTACTCTCTCTGCCATCCCAGAGGTAACTAATGTGAAATGTAATTCCCCAGACCTCTTTTCTGTGTGTTAAAGCCTCACATTAATTAGTATTGCTTAGATGTGTTGAGGTAAATAAACTTAATCACAGCTTTAAAATCTTGAGGAAAACAGCTCATTCCCCTCTGAAGAATACGGGGCTGCCTTTTTTGGTCTTTCGCGGGAGAACCAACTCCAATATTTCCTGAAAGTTTCTCCTCATAAAGATTTAATGAGCAAGTTTAACCACCCGAATTCTGTAACCCAACCTGCCTTATATAAATTCATTGCTGACTTCAAAGGCGTTGCGAGATAAGTCATTCTCTGGCATGAGAGCGGTGTCAAGGGAACAGGCAAGTTTTTGTAACTTTGAGGATTGATGTGACAGCACCGTTTCAAACAATTGAACTCGTTCTGACTCTAAAAGCAAACCATTTGGCCCTGACCCCGTCCCCAATTCTAAAGGTCTGCTTGTACCTGGGCGCTGGCTTTAGCAAGTCGCGTTATGGTGAGCCTGTTCTGGCCTAGGGGTGAGTCACTGAAGCCTCATGTCTTGACTCCTTTATGCCATTGAGTTCCATTATGAGTCTCATGATCACCTCTGAGGTCTGCGAGCAATGGCCTCACTCCCCTCTGTCTGCCCCCAAAACCTTTATCCAGCAGCATTTGCGAGCAGGGCAGCCTTGAGAACAGAGGGCAGGCAATCTGGTCCCGCCCCAGAGGCCCTGATACAGCCCACTCCGTGGGCCCAGGTCCCCAGTGCAGCATGCAGCCATATTAGACTTGCACATCGGCTCTGCAGAGTAAACCTCATATCCTCGCCTGCTACCCTATCTTATTTTTTAGCTTTAATTTTGAAAAAAAAAAAACTTAAAACTTACAGAAAATTTTTAGGAAGCAATTCTCTGTCCCTGTGCCTAGGGGCCCCGTGCAGTTTTCCCCAGTTGTCCCAATGATGGATGTCCTTCAGAGCAAAGTCATCCAGTCCCAGCCACATATCCCGTGTCTCTTTCTATCTTCAGTTTTTCCTTGACTTTTATGGCCTTGAAAATTTCAGGCCAGTTATTTTGGAGAAGTCCTGTGATGGAGGTGTGTCTGGCATTTCCTGGTGCCTCCACCCACCCAGGCTGTGCATTGGAGCTAGACCACCCAGGTGCAGCTGTGCTCTTCCCAGAGGGGGGCACCCAGTGTGTGCTGTGTGGGCAGGGTTAACTGATCTGTCATTTGGGGTGGACCTGCCTGGTTTCTCCACTGTAAAGTTATTTCTTCCCTTTTGTGATAAATATTTTCCGGAGAGATACTTTGAGGCATGACTACATCTCATTCCACCTCTCACTGTGCCCTCCTGTGTTAGCATCCACTGATATTTTCTTGCTTGAATTACTCGTGACTGTGATGATGGCTGGATGGAGATATTCTGCGCTGTCTCTGCTCCTGTATCTACTGACTGGCATTTACTGTAAGGAACAACTCTCTCCTTCCCACTTAATTTAGTCATTTATATCAATATGGACTTAAGATTCCTCTTTTAGTCAGTGGGTTATAATCTGTTGTTCTTAGTACTTATTTTAATATTCGCGTTTCATTTCAAACATCGGTTTATTTTCATCATCCCAGATTTGGCTAATGGGCCCCATCAAGCCAGATTCCTTTTGGCAGGTCCCTGTCATTCTTTTAGGCACTTTCTTTACTTTCTGTCATAACGAGGTTCCAGGCTCATCATCTTCTCTCCCCTTTTCTCAAAGGGGTTCTGGCTCTTCTTAGTGGAGAATGGTCTCGAAAAACCCAGATCTGCTCACCGCCATTGGGCTGTCACTGCTCCCAGGCCCTCTCAGTGCCCAGAGCTGGGAACATTTTGACACAACCAGAAACATACACATATATACACATATATTTGTGTGCAGACATATGCTTACATTTGCATGTATTTCTGTATCTCTTTCTGCAGATGTGGGTAACCTCAGGTTCACGTGGGTACTTCCAGTTCAGCACCAACAGGGTTCATCTTGGCCTTCCCCTTCGAATTTCTACCTCTCTTTTCTAACTGTAAGAAACCTGGCTCCCTTCGTCCTCAGGACATTCAGTCATCACTCTACCTCCGCCCTGTAGGCGGCTGAGCGCCCTTCCCACCCTCCCCCAGCCCCAGACTTGCCCAGGCCCCAGCCCCCACCAGGCCACTTCCTGCTGGATTTCTTTCTACCTCTAGTATATATCAGGTTCAATTCGGATACGGTTTCCCGGTTAAATCTGGAGTCCCTGGGTGCGAGCATTGCTCCCTCAGACATCTCGGACTCTCTCTGAGGCCGGGCAGGACGCACCGTCAGAGGAGCTCGCTTGCTTCAGACACCATTCGAAAGAGGGTAGGTGCTGCCCCAGAGTGAATGGCCTCTCCTGCAGTGAGCTCACAGGGGCATGCATGCGCCCTCAAGAACACACCAGCACAGCCACCTATGCACCCTGGTGACCCTGGCAGGGAGGGACTCTACCCTGACCATGTTGCAGGAAAAGTGAGTTTCTGGAGGGCATGAGAAGAAACCACATTTGTTTTAGTAAAAACGGGGCCTGTGATAGGGCCCTCCAGGGTTCGACTGTCCTGTGATCACACCTCCCTACTTCTTTAGGCTCCTTCTCTCCTGAGTCCCAGCTGCCTTAAAAGTGTGGCGTGCCTGGTCTGTCTGACCATCCGCTCATTCAGTGTGGATTTCCGGTGCATCTGCGGGGTGGGCCTGGCACCGGGCCCAGTGCTGGGGCTTGGTCAGTGGCCACAGTTATCTGGGCCTGCTGACACCTGGTCAACCTCAGCCGGCCCCAGGGGTCCTGCCTCTTAGCGTTGCCTCTGCACAGAGCACAGGGTGGACATCAGTCTGTAGCCACAATGTGAGCATTGCACAGCCAGCTCTAAGGGCTTTCAAAAATGACCTAAATGGTGAATTTCATCTCAATTTCTTAAATGTTGTTAAATGCTAGTCATCTTCTGAATAATCTCGAGCTTTGGAAATGTAATTCGGTACTTTCCTTCTGAGGAGGGACATCTGGCGGGGTGTGTCCCCTGCACCCGTGGTGTCGGGTTCCTCCCGAGGGCGGTTTCCACCAGCCCTCTAAGGCGGCTTGCAGACTCCCCGCAGGCTCAGCCCGTTTTCACTGACCAGCAGTGGGACTTTCTGTCATCCTGTCTTTGCCCAAGGAGAGCAGTTGGGCTCGCCAGCATGGAGACAGCGGGGAAGGGCCCCTGTTCATCCAGAAATGTGACTCGATTCTGTTTTCCTGCCTGAAAGTTTGTTCTGACAGAGCATTTGTGTTTGTCATTTCAGTGAACGACTGGTGGAGTTTTAACATATCCAGAGTTATACAGCCATTACCGTAATTCACTGTCTAACGTCTTCATCAACCCAAAAAGAAACCCTATACCCTTTAGCAGTCACTCTCCATTCCGTCCGTCCCAGCCCTTGACAACCACAAACCCACTTTCTGTCTCTGGATTTGCCTGTTCTGGACATTTCATATAAATGGAATCATACACACTATGTGACCCTTTGAGGTATCTTTCCATTTAAGTCTTTAGATTTTTACAAAAACATTTTATAGTTTGCATTTGTTAAATTTATCCCCAGGTGTGTTATTCTCATTTGTGCTGTTGTAAATGGAGTTTTTTTCTTGACTTTTGGGTCGTTCGTTTCTAGAGTGTAGAAACACACAACTGATTTTTGTGTAGTGATCTTGTTCCCTGCCACCTGACGAGGGTTTTTTCCAGTAGATTGGACCTTAGCACAAAAACAAGGCTGTCTCTGAGAGCCCAAAATTCTGCTGTCCCTGTGCTTCCCCGGGGACAGACCTGACCTGTCGGAGTCACAAGGCTTTTTATGCTGATCCTTCCCACCAAGGATGGCATTAGACCATCCTCCCCACCCCCGCCGCCTTCTGAGATGGACAGTCGCCAAGATGCACAGATTAAGGGAGCTGTGTGGACCAGTGGCTGAGCTGAAAGCAAGTTTTGAATGTCCCCGGAGCCCCTGTATTTGTCAGCCGGGGAGGCCCCGCCTCCTCACGTGTGGCCAGGACAAACAGCTCTGCTTCCTCCTCCCGGGCCTTCCGGTACTCTCATTAAGTGATGAGGCACAGCTCTCCGGTCACATCTGGAGAGAGAGAGCCTGCTGTCTGCCACCCTTGATCTTGCCACAGAAAACATGTCTCATTTCCCAGACATCTGCCGGTAGTACGGAGGCTCTTTCTTCCTGATCACAGACGCATCCCGGACAAGTTGTCTAGAAAAGGGAGCTGAGTCCTGGGGACCTTTATGCGGTGGCCCCCTAACATTCTCCATGGCCTGCGAGTGCAGCACGGTGTCCAAGCTCCCGGCAGGCCTCTGGGTGAGGTGGCTCAGGGGCTGGCCAGCCTTGCACTCACCCTCCAGTTGGAAGGGCTCCTTGGTGGAGTGCTCACCCTCACTCTGTCTCACATTCAGTGCCCCGGGGTCTTCACCGTCAGCACTTTGCCCCAGAGCCTGCACTTCCCGAAGCCCCTGCGTCCGCCTCACGTGGGCTGCTTCACAGCCTTGGTGGTTGAGGGGCTTCTGCGTTTCTGTTTCTGTCTGGAAACATTGCCCTGGTTCTCCTTACCCACAGCTGCCAGGGACCGCCCCGGCCCACAGTCTCTCCTGGCCCTGCCAGCCTCGCCAGCCCACCCAGGCAGGCTTGCTTTTAGCTTTTCTCTTGTACTTGCAGAGGAAAAGAGCAGTGGGTTCCGGTTAAAGCCACCAACGCTAATCCACGGCCAGGCACCTAGCGCAGGTAAGTGCCCACTTTCGGGGAGGCAGGGGGACTTCCTCACAGCCTTCCAGGCCTCTGCACGCCCCACCAGTGCTCTCCAGGCTCAGTCACCTGACATGTGAGCCCTGGGAAGCTGCTTTAGAGAGCCCGTCAGACCTGGGAGGTTCTCCTACCTGTGAGCTCTCCAGCGCCGTAAGATGCCTTGGAGTGGGACATCTGGGCTCTATGCCCAGCGATAACTCAGTTGATTCAGGCTGGCTCACTCTCCAGCATGTTCTGGCCCCAGCATGCCACGGCATTCACCCTGATTAGCAGAGTGGCTTCAATCCAGTGGCACGCTGCTAGTGAGCAGGGCCCAGTGATGGCCCTGTACAGACCTGTCGGGTCCAACAGGAGTGCCCGGGCAAGGCCAGAAGTATTCTCTCGGAGTTCTTGCCTGAGTTGTGTTTGGCAGGGGGATTTTCTCAATGTGGTATTTTAAAAAGATGCACCGAGTGCCTTTCTGTAGCTCAAGCAGCATCCTAAAGTCTGGAGGGTCTCCTGTGGCTTCCCTGCTTCCCCTCACATCTGTGCTTGACCCTCGAGCTCTCTTTTCGCTCCCCTGTAGCATTACTGCGCTCACTGGATTAAGTCAGAGATGCGATCGGTTACATGGAAATGTCATTTAATCACATATAAAAAGAACGGTAGATGGATTCTGCATGTCTAGCTATAAAGAAAATATCTTGGGATTTTTTTGGGGGGGAGGGGGCGGGCTTCCCTACAGTGTCTAGCCTGTGAGAAACATCAAACGGGTTCCTGGGGTCACTTTGTCTGGGAAGCGCCTGAGAGCCTGAGCTGTCTTACTTCTGCTAGCAAGGTCTGAGGGCCCCGGGCAAACCGACCTCTGTTCCCAGGTCTGCCCAGCCAGAAGCCCAAGGAGCAGCAGCGGAGCGTGCTTCGCCCAGCCGTGTTACAAGCGCCACAGCCAAAAGCACTCTCGCAGACAGGTGAGAAACGCTCGGCAGCGTAGAGCATTTCTGAAGTTGCGCCTGGGACAGCCATGTCTCCACACAGGTGGCTTGGGCCATATCTGCCAAATGCACTCAGAAATAAAGAGTGCGCTGGGAAAATGGCCCTTGGCGGCCCTGGCGAGCCCAGGGAAGACGGGAGGCCGGACCTGACTGCTGGTGCGCACACTCTGTGCACACCCAGCTTCTAAGCGCTGCCCCTTCCCTGAGGGGTTCAGGTTCGTCTTTACGTGTTTGTGGGCAAAACTCAGCCTGTGTGTCTCGGAGACTCATAGGGATGCATTTTCATCCTGTTCCCCAACCCAAAGATATAACTCTCAAACCCTATTTCCATTACGTCCATACAGGCGTGGTTTTCGGTTCATTCTTAACTTTTTTAGTCCTCATGAGCTTTCCTTGTCTTCCTCTTGATCTTTCCCTGTAATTCAAGAAGCAACGCAACATCCTACACGAGGGAAATAATTAATATTTCTAAAGAGTTTTTAATTCCATGGGAAATTTTTTATTGTAATGCTGAACAGCCAAAGCCAGATTTAAAGCAGTACATGTCATGTAATCTCAACTATTTATAGGAAAAAAAATGCATAAAATAAAGAAGTTATTCATAAAAATTGTTTTTTAAAACTCATAATTGTTCCTCAATATTTATTTTTCCTCTTAATTAGAAGTATTGCTTCTAAATACACTAAAAATTAACACAGTTCTTTGTGGAGTAAGAAATAGGATAGTCTCTTTTCTGTGTGGTTTTAGTTTTGGTTTCGATTTTTTTTTCTAAGAATCCGGGACTTATAGCATGACACTAGATCCTTCCTTTCTTAAAAAAGGAGAAATTATACTGTTGGTCCAGACGGTGGCAGCGGGGAGCGCTAGAGGTGGTCCAGCACTAAACCTCTAATTTCCCCACTGTCTTTTTGTCTCCACAGTCCCAAGCAGTGGCACCAACGGGCTCAGTGTCCCAGCAGACTGTGCAGGGGCCACGACCTCGACATTGCCCGACAGCCCCGCACGGAGAAGGACCTCCGATGAGGCACCAGCACCTGAGGTCCGTCTGCCCAGGCAGGGAGCGCAGTGTGCGGGAGACTTCTCAGGCTTCGCTGAGCACGCAGACTGTCACCTGCTCTGAGCAGTGTCAGCCTTGGTCTGGGTTCAGACTTCCTGGGTTTGCTCAGCTGCGTCAGGGCAGAAGCACAGCCGACGAATTGCAAGGGGGTCTTTCTCCATGGCTGTGAGGGAAGGGTGCCACAAGCAGAGCTCTGCCATGGGGTCCTGCATTGCCCGAGTCTAGCGTGTCATTGCCGCATGGCCTGGGGTGGCATTCCTCCAGCAGGCACCCTGACCATTGAGTCCTGGGAGGAATGGCTTTCATGGGCGAGGGCCTTGCACCGTTTACGTGGAGAAACGTCCTGCCTCTGTTTCCAGACCCAGCGACTCCTGGGGATGCGTACACATGTGTCCTTTCCACTGGGAGTCAGCCCAGAAACCATTTGTTTTTCTTTAAAAGCAGCAGTCCTCAGGGTTCTGGAATCATGTAGGCCAGAGCACGTGTTTTCCAGTGGTGTTGCAGAGCCCCTGCAAAACAAGGGGCACTGAACGCAGAGCCAGCTCTTGCGGTCGGCAGGGACAGGTGTGGGATCCAAGTCGCAGTAACGCATCAGGCTTCACACACAGCCAGACGGCATCTGTGTCTCCGCTTCAGCAGAGAAGGTGCTGCCAGAGGTTCTCCACCCTCTGCCTCCCCCACAGCCCCCGCTGTGTGTTCAGGCTCACACGGTGACAACGACCGTGTACAACTCCGTTTCAAACCCTCCTGGGCCCCTACCTTCCAACCTGTTGGCGGAAGTGGAGCCGGAACTCGTTACTGCAGCACATGCTTCTTGGACACTGATGGTGGGGTCTCGGGCGGCCAGTCAGGTGCGCAGCTCTGCGCCAGAGGAGACCCAGGAGCAACCCAGCCGTCTGTCCTCCCTCCGTGTCCCCAGCTGCCTCATCTGGTCCCGGGGTCTGCCTGCATCGCTCTTCCTATTGGTGCTAGCCCCTCCTCAGATGACCCTCAGCCTAGGGACCCTCACCACGGGAGACGCAGTGAGCAAACGACGTGCAGGGAGGTGGTTCAGCTCGCTCAGCGCTAATACGCCCCTTTTCGGTTGTCGTTTTGTTAACTAGGAGAAAGAGCTCCAGAAAACCGAGTCTAGTAACACTTCTGAGGAGGACAGCTGTGAGGAAAAAGAGCCGGTCCCGCAGCAGGCGTTTGTGTTCGGGCAGAACTTAAGGGACAGAGTCAAGGTACGTGCCCAGGGGCCGGGTGAGCTGTGGGCCGGGGACTCAATCTTCGCGTGCCTCCCCCAGGTTCAACAACAGGAGCCTGCCGCTTAAGGGCAGGAGGCGGGCGCTGTTGTTCATGGGTGGTCCAGTGGCTCACAGCTCGTCCACGGCCATGGTCAGCACCGCTGCTTGTGCATACCTCCCTTACTGTGCTGCTCGGCCCTGGCACACGCCTCACCGGCCGCCAGCACTGCCTGCCACCCCGAGTGCGGGACTTGGCAGTGGCCACAGGCGGCAGGGGACAGGGAGGCATCCGGTGAGAAACTTTTGTTTCCTTCAGGGTTTTCTGTCAGCGCTAGCAGCATTCAGACCGGATCGTGCTTAGTTACTGGAGGCCCGACCTGCACACTGTGGGGTGCTGGGCAGCATCCCTGGCCCCCACCCTCTAGATACCAGGAACACACCCAGTTGTGACAACCACACATCCCCAAATAGTGCTGATTGTTCCCCGTGGGGCCAGAGTACTCCAGACTGAGAACCGTCACCTGATTTTTCAAAAGTAGGGCCAGCAGAAAGATAGTTTTCTCTTTCATAGGAGCAACAGCATGTGGTACCTCCTGGCTGCCTCCCGGGCAGGTGGGTCCAGGCTGGAGACTTTGAATCAGGTGGGAGGTATGTGCAGGTGGCAGAGGGTCTCGGCCCCGCACCCCCTGTGCTGGCGCTCTGAGATCAGAGTAGGCAGCACTGCCTTTGGCAGCCACAGGGACTGTCCTTCTGTGCCATTTCTAGCAGCTCATCTAGCAGGAAGCGCCTTTAGAGGCCTGAGAGGCAGCATCAGTGGCCATGTCTGGGGACATCTGTGGTCATCACACTGTGGGATAGGTACTGCTGGCATCAAATCAGTATGGGCCAAGGATGCTGCTCACCACCCCGCAGTGCTCAGGACGATCTGGCCCTAATGTGAGTGATGCTCAGGGTGAGAAACACTAAAGTAAGGAAACAAAAGTTTCTCAGCATAGAGAAAACAGCAGGTCATGCTGTCTGCACTCTCCTGTGGTGTCGCTGTCCAAGAAAAGCACAGATGCCCCAAGAGATGAAAAATAGGTGTTGATGCCGCATGACTTCAGCCAATATAATGAGGCCCTTGGGGGCCGCTCCCTCCATGAAGGAGGATGCAAGCAGAGGGAGGGCCTTGAAATCCATCTGCAGCGGGGGCAGGGCCTGGCCTGGCCTGGCCATCAGGTTGGGGGAACGGTGCCTTGACATTGGGGTGGGGCAGTATCTCCTGGAGGTCCAAGGCTCTTGTGATCTCTGAGGTCTCAGTCGCATCCCAGCCTCTCTGTGAAGGGCAGCTCCAGGCCGTGGTCCCCTAGCCCCTCTGGGCCTGCACTTCCCGCTCACGGGACCAGGCCCATCATTCCCACCTTTCAGTTCTCGGCAGCAGTGCGTTAGTTCATATATGTAATGGAACGGGCACGGCAATTGGCATCAAAGAAGCCCTCAAGAAATGATGATTTTATTATAAACCCCTTAAAACACCAGATTTGTAAGCGTTCTGGGATCTCGGTATAGAAGCATTGATGAAAACACCAACAAGGTGCCAGCCTGACTGCATTTTTGTTAAACAAGGTCGAAAAAGCTCCCTAATCGCTTATGAATTATTTTTGTACCCTAACCATTAAAAGCAAAAAGTTGTGGAGTTGATTACAGCGCCCAGCACGCGTGCACACACGCACACATACACACACACTCGAGCGCATGGCGATGATAGGATTTGCACGTTGGAGCTGTGCAGCACGGCGGAGGGCTCGTGCAGCCAAGCCAAGCTTAGAGGTCCCGAGTGTGCAGCTCTGGAGTGTAAGGATTCCCCACCTGTTCCCAGTTAATCAGCGAGAACACCGAAGCAGCTGACGTGGAGAACGCCGGACACCCCAGTTCAGAAACGCCGCCCGCGACCAACTACTTCCTCCAGTACATCAGCTCCAGGTGTGTGTCGGCCTGGGGCCCAGGTGCGCGTGGGAGAGCCTCAGCCTTAGAGGGACCTGGCCATCCATCGGCCCTGACTCGGGCCCGGACAGGAGGCAGCACCTGTGCCAGAAGCCAGCCCAGTCCTTCCTCAGGGGCAAGATGGTGGGGACGGGGCAGAAGCCTCCAGAATCTCGGTCATCCTCCAGCCTCTCCATTCTTTTCCACTCTGGGCACACCTATGGAGAGGTCAGGACGGTGGACTTTGGTGGACACCTGAGGCAGAACCCAAGTTCTGTGGGGTTGTTTATTCTGGCTCCCAGAGTGACCTCTGTCACCCAGACTTCATGTCCAGAGCAGAACCCAGTGGGCCAGCAGTGGCTTGACCGCCTCCTGTCACACACCGGGTTCCGTCCCTGCGCTCACAGCCCATCTTCTCCTCAGTCTAGAGAACTCGACCAGTAATGCCGACGCCCCCAGCAACAAGTTCGTGTTTGGCCAGAACATGAGCGAGCGCGTGCTGGTGAGTGGCCCCTGTGGGGCCTTTTCTTCCGTGGGCCCAGAAGGGTTTTGGAGCTCCTGCCCCTCTTCCAGGTCAAAGGGACGTGGTGTGGCTGCCACACTGTCTCCTATAAAATTAGGATGCTTTCAGTTGCAAGTAAGAGAAGACCCAGCTTGGACTCAGCTTAAAGCCAGGGCAGGGCTGCCATGACCTCAGAGGGGACCCTGTGTCCCCTGTACTGACACACACCACAGCCAAGGCACTCGGGTGCCCTTGGGCCGTCTCTCAGTCCTGGAGAGCCTGGCCAGCCAGGGCGGGGTTCTGGATTTGTTTATCGGCTCCCTCGCTTGCGTTCCTTTTCTTTCCCAGTCAATAGTTGCAGTCAGTAGTCCTTTTTCTGTTACACTGAGTAAGTCAAAAGAACTGCCTCACACAGACAAAGGTGAACGCTGCGGCCCGAGGTGCTATTAGGTGGTGGCACATGTCTCCCAGTGAAACCACAAGAGGCCCCATTTGGGGGCTCCAAGGGCAATTTACGTGTGACACATGAGGGCAGATCTATGAGGACACTTTTTTGTTAGGTTTTCACACCAGATGGTACTTGAGAATCGGTGTGTGGAGATGGTGGGGGCTGGCTGGGACCTGCCCCATGGAGAAGGGCTGTCAGTCATGACTGCCAGGGCTGGACGGGTCCACGAAGCTTTGAAGAAGCCATCGGCAGAAAGCAGCCCTCTGCCCAGCAGAGAGATGCCGAGGGCCACCTCGGCTGAGCAGATGTCCGCTCCACAGCAGTCGGCCGGCCAGGACCGCCCAGACACTCCCCTCCTGAGTGCTTCATTTCCCTGCAGAGCCCACCCAAGTTAAACGAGGTCAGCTCAGACGCCAATAGGGAAAACTCAGCTGCTGAGTCCGGGTCCGAGTCCTCGTCCCAGGAGGCCACCCCTGAGAAAGGTACGTGGCTGTCCTGCTGCCTCTTGGGAGGGGGTACCAAGTGACGTCCATCCACACCCCTGCCTGGGAGGGTTGTGGGGACCAACTCAACACAGCAGTAATAACCTCGTGAACCAGCCACTGGGACAGCCAGAAAGCCGTGGGCACTGGTTTTCAGTGAGCAGGAAGGAGACACGTTCATCTAAAACCAGCCAGCCCCATGGCACTGTGTGGTGCGGTGGCTGTCACCCTCTTCCTTCACGCCTGGAGGCAGCAGAGGGAGTTTCTCTTTGGTGTCCTTTTGGAGGTCTGTCCTCTGCCGAATGGGAAATGGCAGATCCAGAGCGTTGCCCACAGCTCCCAGCAGGTCTGCCTGCAGATTCCGCACTCACATGGCGTGTTTCTGGGTCCGCTCCAAATCCCGAACATGGGGTGGCTGGCACCCTTGAGGCCTTTTACCCCCTGTTAGGTACACACTCCCCCCACCAAGTAAATAGTCAACGTTGTTTAGCTAATGACATTGCAGAGTCCCTGGCCGAATCAGCAGCTGCCTACACCAAGGCAACAGCACGGAAGTGTTTGTTGGAAAAAGTGGAAGTCATCACCGGGGAGGAGGCGGAGAGCAACGTGTTACAGGTGAGGTGGCGTGAAGGTGGGCCTCTTGGCCCTCACATGGAGGTGTGAGGGCCATCAGCAGCCCGAAGCTTCTCTGCAGCTGGGGGTCCAGCCCCTAAAGGCTCGACCCACACCCTCCAGGCACTCGGACTTCCCTTGGAAGTGATAGAGGGGCCTGCGTCCCCACCTTAAGGACCTTGTTGGTGGGGCTTTTGTTGAGAGCTCAGGGCTCGGGGACTTCTTATAGTGCTTTGTTTTCCAACGAAAGGATCTGTTTTGAGACATAGTTCAGGGAATTACAAAGACCGTTGTAACAAACGCCTCCTACCACCCAGAGTTAAGAGCTGTGGTTATTTTGTCACTCCGGCACCTCATTGTTGTTTTATTAGGTGAAAAAAATCACAGATGCAGCGCAGACTTCGCCCTACTCTTTACTGTCCCCATCTTTCTCCCCATCTTGGGGCAACACATCCAGTTCCGTGTGCCTGTTCATCTGCTTTTCATTCTTTGACACTTAGTGTGGCTCTATAAACCACATTTATATAACATAGGGGAGTTTTTAGTGCAGGATTTTCGTGGTACTTCTCTCAGCGTTGCTTTTTCATCTATCCGCGTTAAGAAATACTGACAAACATTTGCAGACTTTTTTTTTTGTAAAGGACCACATATGATCTCTGTTGGTTATTCTTTATTTAAAAAATAACATAAGCGTTATTGAAATATAATACACTTATGAAATTTGCCCTTTTAAAGCCTACGATTCAGTAGTTTTTAGTAGCGACTTGCAGCTGTCACTACTAATTTAGAACGTGTTTGTCCACCAAAAAGAAACTTTGTGCCCATTATCAGTCCCCCGCCGCCCCCAATCCTTCTCACCAGCCCCTGACACCCACTCTCTGTCTCCGTGGACGCGCCTGTGCTGGACACTGCACATCAGTGGAGTCACACACCGGTGGCCTTGTGCATGTGGCTTCTCACCGAGCGCCCCGTGTTCAGTGTCCATCCGCTCTGCAGCGGGTGTCAGCGCTTCACTCCTTTTCGCGGCCGAGTGATATTCCAGTGTGTGGACGGACAGTTGGGTGGTTTCCACTTTTTAGCTATTACGAACCACGCTGCTGTGAACGTTTGTGCACAGGTTTTTGTGTGAACTCCGATTTCGGTTCTCTTGGGTGGATACCTAGGAGTGGCATTGCTGGGCCATGTAGTCACTTCACGTTTGACATTTTGAGGAACTGCTTTCCGCAGTGGCCACCAGCAGTGTGAGGCTTCTGATTTCTCCACATCCTCTCCAGTACCTGTTATCTGTCTTTTGGTTGCAGCCATCCTAGTGGGTGTGAAATGGTATCTCATCATGGTTTTGATTTGCATTTCCTTAAATTTTTAAATATTCCTCTAAAAAAGTGTAAAATCCATTCTAGTTCGAGAGCAAGATGGGAAATTGGCAAAGGGCCAGATGTGGACCCCAGGCCATAGTTTGCTGACCCTGGTAGATCATGGGAGTTAGAGGGAGACTCCCAGGAAGCCTTTCACAGTGGCAGCCACCCAGCCAGGGTCCCTGCTCACCCAGAGGGCCACCTTGTATTCCAGATCCAGTGTAAGCTGTTTGTCTTTGACAAGACCTCACAGTCGTGGGTGGAGAGAGGCCGGGGGCTGCTCAGACTCAACGACATGGCGTCGACTGACGACGGGACATTACAGTCCCGACTAGGTGAGCTGCAGGGGGCCCTGTGCAGAGGGTGCAGAGATCCCAAGGCAGTGAAGGGTGAGGTCCCGACTCAGGCCCTCCACCCAAGGAGCAGAGAAGCGGGTCCCCACAGGAAGTTCCCCAGCACCCCTTGGCTGCCCCAGAGGCTCCAGCTGCCAGCCCTTCCACAACTTCCCTCTTTCTAAGTGTGAAAATAGATAAGAGCACTTGGCAACTTTTGAACTAAGTTTATGCCCGCTGCGGGTAGAACTGGTGGTGTCAAATGCACATCCAGAGAGGGAAGGTCTGTGCCCAGTTTTGCTCCGCCATATAAAGTGCCAGTTAATTTTGGTAGAAAGGGAAAAAGCAGAAATCAGACATCAATTGTAGTCTCTTTATAAAAAGAGAAGTCTCTGCTAATAACATTTTGGAGGTCCCTGTCTGTTCTGTGGGTTCTTTTTAAAGGAAATGGGGTGACATTTTATCCTGCTCTTTTCACTCACTATTTTGTGAGCATGTTCCTGTGTCAGATTTTTCTTAGAAACACAACTGTTTTGGGAAGAAGTTTTATAATAATATTCTGTTGACAATGAATGTATGTCACCATTTCTCTCTTGATGGACATGTAAGTTGTTCCTAGGTTTTTGGACTATTATAAATGATGCTCCTGGGCCATCTAGATATGAATCTTACTCCCAGAAGTATGCCGGCCACAAAAACGGATGTAGTGTGGTGCGTGTGTATGTACAACACGTACATGTTTGAAGAAAATCAGCATGTACCTGTGTCTATACTGTGAAACACGTACGTTCACTTTTTTTTTTTATCTTCCCAAAGTAAAATTGGCCTCTGGCCTTTACAGAAACAGCAGTTCCTGGCTCAGTAATAGCTCACGTTGCATCTTGAGATTAGAACAGAGAGGGAAAGGGTCCTTCTGAGGGGCACCGTTCCTTTTCCCCATGGACACCCCCTCAATCGCTTCCGTTTTTTTCTCATGGAAATGTTCAAGCGTATGTGGACGGAGAGAGCACAGTGTCCCCAGCCCCCCAGCTTATTGCCCTCGTCCCCAGTCAGAAGCGGAGCAGGCCTCGTCGCATTTCACACCCCTCCCTCGCTGAGATCCGTCCCAGGCACCCTTTCCCTTCACCCACCCAGCCTTTGGTCCTTGTCACAGGCCTTCCCTCCAAGCCCGTGCGAGCTCTCTACCACTTCAGAGGTGGGCACACTGAGCTCAGAGGACTCTGGGAGATCTGGTTGGTTGGGGTCCAGGACCCCGCAGGCCTCCCCAAGCTGCTCCCCGTTCTTTGTAGCCATCTGGGGCCCTGGGTTAGGGCGACACCTTCTAACACTGTCCAGGCCTATCCCAGTGGGGAGAGCTGGGCTGGAAGGCAGGCGAGAGGTCACCCATGTCCACATGGTTGGGGCACAGGCGGATTGCGTGGGCTCTGATAGATCAGGCAGGCTGACTGTGGCCTTGGGCCCGCTGCGGGTAGCACTGGGGGTGTCACGTGCACGTCCAGAGAGGTAAAATCTGTGCCCAGTTTTTCTCCGCCATATGCCTTCCCCAGTCTGTCTTTGTCTCTCTCTTGATGGAAGCTCTGAGCACAGGTTAGGCTTGGCCCCTTTTCTAAGAAGACCACAGAGCAGGGGCTGGGGCTTGGCCTGTGAGTGGGGGACAGACGGGGTATTGACTTCATGTGACATTCATCACATAAAGGGAAAGTGTCCCCTTTGTGTAGCCCATGGGTGTCCCTCTCTGGACCCACCTCATAGTCTGCCTCCTGCTCCACCTAATCCCCTCCCTCCCCAGGGGAGCCGCCATGCTGCGGGCATCAACAAGACCCCCTTCTGTGTGGCCTCTGACCCCGCCAGTGGCCTTGGGGATCCTGGGCTGGGGAAGGTGCATGGTGCCAGGCTGGCCCCAGCGTGTGGGCAGCTGTTGCCCAGCAGACCGTGAAAGAGTCGTGGGTTTTGCCCTTCGGGTTCGCTTTCCTGCCAGGTGTGTCTGTTCTCCCAGCTGGCTGTTAGGTGGGGTCGGGGACCAGGGCTGAGTGGCCTCATTGGTTGCAGTGATGCGGACCCAGGGCAGTCTGCGGCTGATCCTCAACACCAAGCTGTGGGCCCAGATGCAGATCGACAAGGCCAGTGAGAAAAGCATCCGCATCACGGCCATGGACACTGAGGACCAGGGCGTGAAGGTCTTCCTGATATCGGTGAGCAGCCCCAGGGACTGCCTGAACAGCCCCCCAGGCCAGGGCAGCACCCCCAAAGTCACCACAGGGGGTGGCTCCTTGGCACACCCAGCCAGGCACTGGGCACTCTGCACTGAGAGCATGGGCCGAGAAAGGGCAGAGAGGCCTCTAGGCAGGCACATCCCCCAAACGAGAGAGGCAGCAGTGCCACTGGGGGCCGGCCCAGCTACTGGCTCCAGGAACCCCTTGGGGAGTCCGGGCTCTGGTGTGCGGTTCCCAGGTTGGCGAGGAGAGCAGATCACGTTCCCCAGTTGGAGGTTGTGGCATCCCATCGCAGCATGGGCAGTAGCCACACCACCCGGGGGCGGTTTCCCCATGAGGCCTTGGAACCAGCACGTCCTCTGCCTCCCCCAGGCCAGTTCCAAGGACACGGGCCAGCTGTATGCGGCCCTGCACCACCGCATCTTGGCCCTGCGCAGCCGCGTGGAGCAGGAACAGGAGGCCAAGACGCCTGCCCCCGAGCCTGGGGCAGCCCCGTCCAACGAGGACTACAGCGATGACGACGACGTCCTGGCTCCATCAGGGGCCGCCGCGGGCGGTGAGCCAGTGGTCCCTGCCCTGGGGGTGCGGGGGGGCTGGTTTGCTGCCTATGGCCCAAGGGTGACCTCAGGGGGTGGGGTGCTGTCCAGGGCGGGGACCTGACAGCGAGGCCACTGCTTCCCACAGGCGCTGGCGACGAAGGGGACGGGCAGACAGCCGGGAGCACATAGCGCCGGGAGCCGGCTGCCCGCGAGCCTGCTGCTTTGTCCGTCTGTCCGCCCACCCACCCGCCCTCCCCGGCAGTGTCGAGGCTCCGGGCTCGGGAACCACACTCCCCCGCTGGGTTGGCCGCAGTCCGGATCCACACGGCCCGTTCAGAAGCAGACTCGGGAACTGCTTGAATGTGGTTTGGGACACGAGACCTCATCATATTGATGAGCAAAACAAAAAGAACATTTCTTTCCTCTCCCCTTTGAATTGAAATGGCACATTAAGACTTGTCACGGCTTCTCACTGGGACTGGGACGCCTGGTTTCTTCACCCCTCCGTCCTCATGTCGCCGACCACCGCTGCCGCTGCCCCCCGCCCCATGGCGCTGCCCCCCTGTGGGTTCCCACCGTCTCCCCAGGCCACCAGGTCTGTCCCCATGAGTGTACACACTGGGCCTGCTGGACGTTCTGCTAACTGCTATCTTTGTCCCCCGTTTCCCACACTCTGACTCGGGGTGTGCGCTTTTAGGTTGTTTTCTTCCCAAGGCTTTGTCTTTGTTTCCTGAGGCTGAGACACTCCTGTGTGCTGAGCAGGCACAGGTCCAGCGTCCTCATTTTCCCTGTGGGCCTGGCCGCTGTGCCGAGGCCTTACTGGAGGGCTGGGGGTGCTCCAAGGGCCACTGGGGGCAGGCCCCCACTTGCTCCCTACCTGGGGTTTCTAGGGCCGAGTCATGGGGTGTTGAGGGGTGGGCCCCATGCCTGGGGAGAGCTTATCTAGAAAAGGGTCACTGGACGTGGGAGGGTCCCTATTGCCCTTCTGCTTGTCCCTGTCACATGGGTCATCTGTCTTCAGGCACCCAGGTGCAAACCTGTTGGCAATTCCTTGCCCAGTCCTGAACGTCACCGTCCCCTGAGACCATCCAGGGCAGGGGCCTCCGTGAGAGGCAGAGGGAGAGCTTAGCGGGGACTTGAAGGAGGGGGCAGGGGACTGGTTCCAGACAACAGGTCATCCCAAAACTCGCAGCACGCACAGGAGCAGGCGCCGTGCCCACCCCACCCCAGAGCAGGGTCAAGGGCCGTCCCACCTGCAAAGGAGGTCCCTGTACCAGGGCTCGAGGGGTCGAGGAGATGCCCAGCCCCACCCTCGCAGGGGAGGACAAGGCCTGGTCTTCGCAGCTGTGCCGCGCAGCCCGAGCCTGAGCCGCGGGAAGACACCAGAGGCCCCGGCAGATCGGTCATACTTCTCTGCTTTACGCCTTAGCCAACTAGTGACAAGTAAAACCCGATAATGCCCATGTGTTTTGGAACATTTATGTAAGATTGTCATATGAAATGTATTTGGGAACTACATTAAAACTTTTAACTAAACCCTGGCCTCCTGCGTGCCCCAGGGGCCTCAGGAAGCCCGAGGGCCTGGCCAGGCATGGCCTCTGCCTCCCAGGGCAGGCTCCTCACACAGCCTGGCCGGCCTGCTGCCCTGGGCCCCAGCCCCACAGTCCACACCTGGACTGGCCACCAAACTTGGCTGTCTTCCAAGACCTGCCACCTCCAAGCACAGAGCCTGGCCTCACAGAAAGCCGTTTGCTCACACATGCACCCCCAACCCCCGCCCCACGGGCCTCCTGGCTTCCCCAGGACCACTGAGAGAAGGTTGGGGTTGGGGTGCTGGCAGGACCAGGATCCTGGAGCGAAACGGGGGAGGCGGAGGGGGTACATCTGCAGTGGTTTCATGAGGCCTGGGGTCAGCACAGGGTGGACAAGTAGAGCTTTATTCCCTGGGGTCCCGTGTCCCACTTGGGCCTGGTGGCCAAGCAAGGTCCTTTGAGACCTGGTCTAACTGGTTCTGCAGCCTAAATCCTCCTGCACTCCCCTCCAGCGCCCCCTTCCGCCCCAGGACGGCACAGCCGCAAGTCCAGGTGAGAGGGACGCCGGCTCGGGGATGCCAGGGCAGGGACCTGGGGCGGCGCTCACAGCCTCCAGGCGCTGGTCATCATGGCCACGAACTCCTCATCCGAGTCCACGGAGGCGCTCACGCCACTGTAGTAGTCCTGGAATTCGGCCAGCGTGACCTGGGGGCAGACGGGCTCTAAGTGGGGACCAGAGGCCGGGCAGGAGCGAGGGATGCACCCCACGGGGACCCACCTGCCCGTCCTGAGAGGAGTCAAAGTTGTCCAGGAAGCGGCGGAGCACCTCCTCCTCGGTCCACTGCCCACTCTGCACCTTGGGGTGAGTGCGGCCGCTGTACACCCCCCGGAGGTCCCCCACGGTTACCACGCCGTCCCCGCTTCGGTCCAGCTTGGCGAACGCTACTGCAATGATCGCCTCCCGGGCCTGGGACATGGGAGGCTGAAGAAGATGGGGAGTGGTGACTGGGACCCCAGCCCGTCCGGGCGTAGACCGCAGAGTGCAGGGGACCCCTGAGCAGGCACCTCGTAGTGATGAGGGTCCAGTGTCTCCGTGCTGACACATTAGCCCACGAGAGCCCAGCACCCCCCACGCAGCGGGGTGAAGGGGCTCCCCCACAGTCAGCAGGCCTACCCTCAGCGCCCTCAGGAACTCTTCCAGGTCCAGCACCCCATTGCCGTCGCGGTCCCAGCGCCTGCACACGCCCTCTGCCTCGGCCATGTCCAGCGCCATCCCCAGCTCAGCCAGGCCTCGCTGGAGCTCCCCTGCATCCAGGGACAGGCTCCTGTCCCTGTCCAGGCGGCGGAAAAACCTGGGGGACAGGGGCACGTTGGAGAGTGGTCCCTGGGGCTAAGTGGTCAGGAATGTGTGAGGGTACAGCTCACCTGGCCAGGCCCTGGATGCCCGAGGCCCCTCGGGACAGGCACTGTGCCCGGAGCTTCTCCACAGTGGCGTCCACTGCGTCCATGCCGGGTTGGGACTCTGAGCAGCTAGATGGGAGAGAGGTCACGGGGGGTTCTGCTTAGCCAGCCAGGCTACAGCCTGGGTGTCCCCTACTCACTCACCTGGTTGTCGCCCGTCCTGGGTCTTCCAGACAGCCACTCCGCTGGCTCCTGCCGGCTCTGTCCAGTGTTGGCAGTGCGTTCTTCCTGGCAGGACTGTTGCTAAGGGACGATGGCTCTGGAGACTGGGAGGGGCCCCAGCTGTAACCCTGACTGTGCCAGGTGGCAGGGCCAAATGGAACAGGGCAATTTTGTCACTGGCACCACCACCCAGCCACCATCCTGTTCACTCACTCGGCCCTGCAATGCCCAAGCCTGGGATAGAGCCAGGCCCAGATCTGGGTTGGGATTGGAGGTCCCTTCCTGGTCACAAGGAGGAGGAGTGGGCCGCAGCCCTGCAGTGACCACAGCGTCCTAGATGGAGGGAGATAAGGCTGTAGCCAAGGGGCGCAAGGCCCAATTCCTGTGGGACCTGAGGCAGATCCCCTCCTCTCTGGGTTTCCCTGGCACAGGACAGCAGCCACAGTTGCTGAGGGATTTAAGTTCAAAAGAGCTAGAAGTGGCCCAGTCCACATCCACTGGGAGGTCCTGGGAACAGTGCCAGCCAAGCCAGGACACGGCAGATTCCTACAGATATTTCTTTCCATGCTAACTCAGACAAAGCAGTTCTTGGTAGTTATTTAGGGGCTAGCTGTGGTGTTTTTGTCACATGGGTCTTTTGGTGGTTAGTTTTCAGTTCTCATTCATCATTTGATGGGTTTGTTTGTGACAAGCTGGTAAGCCAGGATGTTGCAGTACAGAACAGAGCAGCAGCCCTGACCCCTGACACAATCCAAGAGGCACCGAGGCCACTGTCACAGAAGGCCTTCAATCAAGACCTTTCTACCTTTGCTAGCTGAGAGCATGATGCCAAACAGCAGGATCAAAAAGGACACTGGGTTTCCCAGTCTTAAAATGGGCCTCGTTTGGGGACCCCCCACTTGCATATACCAAGATTGTCAGAGGTTTTTCAAAGCCTGAGCTTGCACACAGCACATGGTGTAGTCAGGGGCCACTGCTGCTGCCAGAAACCAATCCGTGGATTACGAGTGACCGGGCAATGATTCAGGCCAAAGCTGACGTCGTACCGTCAGCTTAGAGAAACCACAGTGACATTCTGCTGCACAAAGCCTGATGGCTTGCTGCAGTCCAAAATTCTCTGGGTAAGCAGAGAAATACTCTGTTGTTTTTTATGGGTGTTACAACATATTTTTTTTTTTCCTATAGCGAATGTAGAAGCTAACCACAATCGTAGTTCTGTTTGGCATCTCCTCAAGAGAATCAGAATTTCAACAGTAACTTCTCTAAAACTTGGTAGTGGCCCAGGCCCTCCCGACCCTCTCGGCGTCACTTTCCCAGCTGTGAAATGGGGCAAGCCTGTGTCCGCAGGGAGCTGTGAACACTAGACACAGTCATGTGTACGGAGTGCCTGGCACAAGCCCGTGTCTAACGTGTATCTCCCTGCCCAGCAGGGCCCCCCACCCCCTGGACCAGGAGCAGCACAGGGGCCAGTTCTCCAGCCCCCCCCACCCAGAAGAAAGGAGGGACCACACCATCCATCCAGAAGAGTAAATGGGGTTATTGTTACCACACTGGGGGGCACTGTTGGACACCGGGTGGACAAGCGGCACCGCCCTGAGGGTTAGGGGCAGGCGCCAATCTTTCCAGGCTGAACTGGGCCCTGCCCCTCGGTTCCTGGTGTGACAATTCCCTGAGTGAGGAAGCCTGGAGACGGCTGCCATGGTACTGGGCTGGGCACTTCAACTGGGCAGGAAAGGGCACAGGGTTCCCTGGTTTGATTTTAAAAAGCAAAGTGCCTTGAACGTCTTGGGCCAAGAAGTGCAGTGTAAAAATAAGGAGTTAAAAAATAGATTCTCTAGGAAATATAAAAAAGGAGCCAGCTGCTTACTACAAAAGCCGGACTAGGGGACGGCCTCATCAAAAGTGCTGGGGACCTCTGGCTTCCTGCAGGGTCCACAGACCCATCCTGCTTCTCCTGGGGTCTCCAGATGTGCCGCAGACTGGTGACAGAACAAGAAGCCTGCCCTCGTGGACCTTACATCCTGATGGGAAGAAGTTCCATAGAGGAAAAATAAAATACACAGCGTAATGACGGGGGCTAGGGAGGAGTGACTTCAGATAAGGTGGTCAGGAGAGGCCTCTCTGAGGTGACGTTTGAGCAAAGACCTGAGTGACAAGGAATCAGTCCTGTGACATCTGGAGGAAGAGCATTCGAGGCAGAGGGAATACCCACTGTAAAGGCCCTGAGGCAGGACATTAAATCAAGAAAAGGTCAAGGGATGCCGGAGCTCTCCTGGGCGGCAGTGTGGCTGTCAGCACCCCAGCATGTCCCACGTGCACACCCTTCCTTCCGGGTTAAAGGTTGAGGGAGGAGTCAGGAAAAAAGTACCTAGAATTAAAAGTTGTTTTCAAATAACCAATGCAAAATGGCATGAAGCTTGAAGTTCAATGCTGGCTTGGGTAAAAGAGTAAAAAAAGCGTTAGTCTGGGAGGAGCGAAACCAAGGCAAGGGAAAAAGGGAGAAAAATTCAAATAATATGGAACTTGATGTCATCTGCCTCCACCAGAGAAAGAGAGGTGTCAAACTCGGATGTTTCGGGGGCCAGACATCTGGCCCTAAGAGAGATGAGGAGGCTAATTAAAACTCACACTCTGCCTAAATCGGGTATCCTGGCTCAGATCCAGGCAGGCTGGCCAAGTCTGAAGCTAGAAATCCAGATTTTTGTGTGTAAATGTTGCCAATTTTTCAGCAAGGGTGATTGATGCAAAGTTGTGTTTCAAAAAAATCCTGTCTGGGCTAAACATCTTCATTTGGCCTGCAGGCTACCCATTTAAAACCTATGACTTTCTAGCAGGTTCTCGTGCTTAGAAAGGATTATGGCTCTGCGCAGGGTCCCCTCTGGGACACTGCTGACCCTCTCCCCCTGCTGAGGACACCAGCAATGGAAAAAGTCCCTGCAGGGACCCTCTGTCTCCATTTTGAAATCTGTGCTCCGGGGCTCACACGGTGGTCCCAAACACGGCTGGTTGGAGGTGGTCCCTGTCCCCCTCTGCCTCAGTGCTGTTGGCAAGAGGTGAACTTGGCCCACCAGTGAGTGGATGGCCAAGGTCACTGGCTGGCAAGGGCCCCAGGCGCTCGGCCTCAGCTAGGGTGGCCAGCAGCCCAGCCAGGGGTGGCCGGCGGCGGCAGATGTCCTGCAGCAGCTCGGCCCGGGGCTGCAACTGCCCGATGAGCTTGTCCCTCTGGTGCACAGCAGACTGCAGGCTGTGGACAGTGGCCTCGGAGGTCAGCAGCTGTTCCTGGAGAGCAGCAATCTCGCTGGCGGGGAGGCAAGACATGGCAGTTACGGTACTGGAGTGCCAGAGGTTCTCCTGTGCCTGCTCCCGACCTCCAAGGCTGCCTCACCGTCAGGGTGAAGGCCATGTTCCTCACCACTGCTTCAAGACCTCCCCTAGTTATGGACCGAATGTTGTTGCCTCCCAAATTCATATGTCGGATACCTATGTCCCAGTGTGATATTTGAAGGTGGGGCCTTCGCGAGGTAAGGTTAGTTGAGGTCATGAGGGTGGCGTCCTCACGATGGGGTTAGTGCCCTTATGAGAAGAGACCAGAGAGCTCTCTGCCCTATGAGGACACAGTGAGAAGGTAACCATCTGCAAACCAGGAGGAGTCCTCACCAGGAACTGAATCCACCAGTACCTTGATCTTGGACTTCCAGCCTCCGGAATAGTGAGACGTACATGTCTGTTGTTTAAGGCACCCAGCCTGTGGTGTTTTGTCTCGGCAGCCTGAGCAGACTCATAGCTCCCCCTGGCTCTTCCTGCAGTTCCTTTTTCCCCTACATCTTTTTTTATTTGTCGTTCAGCTTAAACGGCTCTCCTCCTCCAGGAAGCCTTCCCTCTGGGTCCCCTTAGAACCCTATGTGCACCTCCATCACAACTCTGATCACCCCATATTGTAAATGCCTGGTGATGTGTCTGCCTAAGGGCAGGGCTGCATAGATCTTACCGATGTACCTTAGTTCCCAGCACAGTGCCTGGCACATAGTAAGTCCTCAGTAAAGATGAATGAATGAATCCAACCAGCCAACCAGCTCTGAATTAATTGTTTGCCACTTGGGCCCCAGCACCTCCGTGGGCACTTGTCTTATCCCTTTAAATTCTTAGCTGCTAGAGGGACACTTCAAAACCGCTGATAGAGTCCATCCTCCTCTGCTCAAGAACCTGCCATGGCTCCCAGTATGTACACCAGGAGGTCGGTGGTCCTTGCACCAATCAGTAGCAGCTGATTTTGCCTTGTGGGAAACTTTTAAGTTAAAAATCCACACTTGTGTGATATCTCTTAACTTTATGTGCTGATGATTAATTCAAGTTTTTTGGTGTTTGTTTTTCAATCCCTCCAGTAGTCCAGCCTCCACGTGAACGCATTCGGTCCCCCCTGCTAGTGCTCCCTTTATAATCTCGGCTCCGCCTCTGCCCACCTCCGAGAAGTCCACCTTGTGGGCCCGGGCCTCACCGGTCCTTGGTGCGGCCCAGCTCGTCCAGCGCGGCGCGCAGCTGCTGATCGTGGCGAGCCAAGCGCTCGGCCTGGGCGCGCACCGTGCGCTCCGCGGCGTCCAGCCGCGCCTCCAGCTCTGCGACGCGCCGGTGTACTGCTACCAGGTGTGCGTTCGCCTCGCGGATCTGCAGGGGCGGCGGCGCGGACATGGTCCCGACCGCGGCCCAGGACCGGGCCCGGCCACGCCCCCAAAGGCCCGCTCAGGACTTCCGCGCGATTGGCCGCAGCCGACTAGGTCGCGCCCTCATCTAACTCAAACACGCTGACTGATTCCGGCACCTCGAAACTCCGCCCCTGAGCCCTGACTCGTTCTCCGGCCGCACGCCGGGTCCAGGCTCTGGCAACGGGATGGGCTTCTCGGAGACGGGCCCCGCCCCGCCCAGAAGCGAGCCCCAGGATTAGTCCAGATCCCGCGACCCAACAGAACTGGTCACGCCCCCGGAACCCGCAGCTTTCTCTCAGACCCACACGATTGGCCACGCCGGCATCTTCTGGGCAACCATGCGGTTCCGGATTGGTCCAGTCCGGGCTCTGTCCGGTTCTGGCCACGCCCCCAAGCGTAGGGCTTGAACAAGCCGCAAATTGGGCACAGGCTATAGACCTCTAAGATTTTAGCACTAGAATTGGGCACTTTGCCGTGAAACCCCGCCCCTGAGCCTGGCCCCACCTCAAAATAGTCGCACGCGGTTTAGACTCCTGCTTCGGGACTGGCCACAGCGAGTGACCACGCCCCCACACGGATTCTGACGCTGAAGGGGCCATATCCCCGCTGTGCCCAGCCCTGTAATTACGTCCTGCTCCTCTCAAGTGCAGTTACGCTCCGCCCGCGCCCTACTCTGTGCATGCGGATAGGCCTAGTACCTATTTCAGTCCCGCCCCTAGATTAGGCCGCACCTCCGGGCGTCAACTCATTCCTAAGACCTTCTGAGCTGGAACTAGCGAGATCTGCCTTCGCTAACCCTGGCTGGCCTCAGTTTCCCCCTCCAGAAATCGCCGGGGGTGCACGCGTCCTTCCCTTGCGCCAGTCCAGACCTCAGCGCGTGCGCGCAACCCGTGTCCGTGTTCGCGGGGCTCAATAAAGTTGCACGCTTGTTGCCGGCCCGTCCGCACAGCAAGCTGCGCGCACCGCCCAGAATTCTCGCGATAGCAAGCGGCGGCTGCCCTTGGGCGCGGCGGGCCGGCGGGCTGTGCAGTGCGGGGTCCGGGGTGTTCAGCCATGGTGCGGAAGCTTCTTAACCGGTACTGGGACATCCCCGACGGCACCGAGTGTCACCGCAAGACCTACGCCAGCACCACTATCAGTGGTGCCGTTGGTGAGCGCCGACCGGCCAGACGCCGGGGGCGGAGACTGCAGGGAGGTCATAGGGTCACTGGGGGATGTCCTAAGGTGTCCTGGGGGGCTGGGGAATCTCGCGGGGTGGCATATGGTTGTCGTCGGGGGCGTCGGGCGGATCGGGGTTGCTGGGGAGCTCTTTTTCGAGATAGACTTTGTGGGGTGTCGCACTAATTCAGAGGACGGAGGGAGGTCATAGGGTTATTTTGAAATGGGGAGATGTCCGAGGGGGTCACATGGGGGCGGGGAGTCTCGCGGGGCGGCACGTGGCTGCCGCCCAGGCGTCCGGGGCGGTGTCTGGGGAAGCCGTGGAGTGAGACGGGGCCATTATAGGGATCACAGGGGCTGGGGTGATGAGACTTTCCAATCGGGTAACTTGAGATTACTTGGGGATCTTACTTGGGGATCATGGGTTATTATTGGGGTACCTGAGAGGGGTACAGAAGCTTGAGAAAGTTCCAGAGTAGGATGAGGCCTTTTTAGGGTCCAGAAGAGTTGGGTGGTCAGGGACATCTGAAGTTTATATTGGGGCTACCAGAGAACCCCTAGGGGTGCTGCGGAGATCGTAGGTGAAGTGAGTCGGGGTGCTATAAGGATAGCCTTGGGGCTGTGAAGGGACCCAGAGCCCTGACATTCCCTTGCAGGGGAGACCCCAGACTCTTGTCCCTTCCAGACTCCTTTCATTCCGTCTCCCTGAGAAGCAGGTATGGTGGTTTTGGCCACCTCCCTACCTCCAGCTTCTGAAACAGGGTCTGGCAGAAGCCGAGTCTGCACTGGGCAGCATCCGCGTTAGGTAGACCTAGTAATCACGGCCGTTATCTCCATACTTAGAAGGGTCAGTAGTTGTCACCTCCATTTCTCAGAGGTGGAAAATGAAGGTCCGAGAGGCTTATTAACTGCCCCAGGTCTTTTGAAATGGGGCTGCAGATCCACATCTACTGAGCTGCTCCTGGGAGTGCTGGGGACAAGGAACATGCACACAGGGTTCCTAATGGGAGGGTCTTCGGGAGAAAGGGCTGAGGGGGCAGTCCCAGGGGATGCATTATGTAGAGTCTGCAGGAGTGGCAAGTTGTTGGGACAGTGCAGGGCCTGTGGTAGGACCTTTGGGGGGATACTTACCCCAGGAGGGCTGGTGCAGTGTGAAGTCGGATCACTGTAGAGGAAATTGATTCTGGTGGATTCTTATGGGGGAGATACTGACATTGGCAAATGCCTAGAGGGTCATGGCTGTGTCTGATATTAAAGCAGGAGGAGTTGCCTGAGGGGCCTTCAGGGAAGGAATTTGGAGGAGTGGAGGCTTTGGGGATTTTGAGGCTGAGAAAGGCATTAACGGTGGCGTCTGTGAGTGGGGGCGTGCGTGTGTGCTCACAGATGCACTTCACCCTGGGACTGAAGTCTCAGCTTTTGGGGAGACCACGCACATCTCAGGATTAGGGTGCCGATGAGTGAGGAGCCTCGGGGTGGGGGGCTTTCTAGAGGGTGTTTGAGGGGATGTGGGTGGGACACTTTGACAGAGGTGCCATGTCAGGCAGTCCCTGAGAGACTCAGATGTGCGATGATCTCTGGCATCTGTGAGCTGTCCAGACCACCCAGGGATCTCGAGGGTGTCACTGTGTGTGCTGACCTCTTTGCCCACCTGTGTTTCCTCACTGACCAACACCATTCTACATACAGCGCTTGGTTGACACGTGTCCGGCAGTCCTGTCTCCTCCCTGCTGCTTCATTCCCTGACCACCCTCTGCCCTGGCCCGAGGGTTTAATGTTTGGCTTCCCTGAGCTGGTGAGCCCCTGGAGGGCGGGTAGCCCTATGCCCACAGAGCCCAGCACCTTGTAGGCACAGCTGTCTGTGAAGAGAGGGAGGAGACGTTAACCGTGAATGAATGAATGAATGAATGAATGAGTCAGGGCACGCAGTAACTGAATGGGTGGATGGATGGGTCTGGGTTCACGGTAACTGAGTGAATGAACCAGAGCGGGTGCGGTGACTGACTAGTGAATGAATGAACGATGTGCGCCTGTCTGGAGGTCTCTATGGGAGGCTTAACAGGGAGCCAGGGGCAAGCTGAGGGCTTGGGGAGGGAGTGACGGGAGGCTCTGGACCGATGCGAGTGAGTAGCGATCTTGTGTGCTGGGGGTCTGCTGGATCGCAACGTCTGGGGAGCCAGGCGGGCCCCTGGAAGGCGAGCTGTGGCGGTCCCCATACTGGATGACTGCTGGGGGGGAGTTGGTCAGGCAGTCTTGACCCTGAGATAATCATGGGGCTCCTGGATCATCTGCACCCAGTTCAAGGACTTCTGGGGTACATAGGGTGGTGGAAGCACTCTGGCTGGCATGGCCAGGATCGCAGGCATATGGTGGGGTTGACAGGGTGCCCCCCAGGGTTCACTGCCTGATTAGGTTTGGGGGCAGCACTGAATCTAGTCCATGGTCCTCCTTCAGGGGGTCCTAAGACCCTTGTTCCTGGCCCAGCTCCAAAGATCAAGACTCGTCCGGGCTGGGCAGGGCTGGGAACCCCTCTGATTAAGTGCGCACAGGGGAAGGGAGCACGTGAGAGTGAGTGCTGGGGGCAGAGCTCCTTGCTGGGCCCCAGGCCCCCTCCCCAGCCTGCAGCCTCTCAGGGGTCAAGCGGGGATACCAGAGTGTGTTGTGGGATCGGGAGAAGTAAGATCAGGAGGGCGTGCAGACCAGGGCCTTGCACACTGGAGCCCTCGGTCATTTTTTTTTTTTTTTTTTAGTGGATAAATTTGACATGTAACATTGTGTGAGTTGAAGGTGTACTAGAATCCTCTTTATATGTGAGTGTCTCTCTTCTCCTCATCCCTGGGCCTCGTTTTACCCATCTGGGACATGAGAGGGCAGTCTCGGCTGTCCTCACAGCTGCTCTGAAGCTTAACCCCACTGTCCAGTGTGACAAGCCCCCACGACAGCTCCACTGAGCAGAATCAGAGCCCGGGCTGAGGTAGGAGGCACTGCTCAACCTGGAGGCCCCATGGCTGGGTCCAGGAAGCTAGAGGGTTGGGGACTGGAGTGCAGCCCACTCCAGTGTTGGGCAGTTCTGGTGACCGGAGGCTGCAGTGTGGGGCAGAGCGTGGCCTTTGGGTCAGACCCACCTGGCTTCCAGACAGCTCTGCTGGGTGACCTCAGGCAAGTCACTCTGCCTCTCTGAGGTCCCCTCCTTTCCCATGAAGGAAGCAACGGATATAAGGGGACCGAGCCCCTTGGGCCCTGAGGAAGATGTCTGGGGCAGTGGCGGCACCTGCCACCTGGCCGATGGCAATTCTGTTTTGTCTGGGATAGAATGGTCTGGCCCCGGGACATCCCTGCTAGCAACTAGGCCATGCAGGGGGTCTTTGGGGAAGAGGGTGCATTGTCACCCTGAGCAGGGTCAGCTGCAGGATGGGGAGCCCCGTGTTGGGCAGTTCTGGTGACAGGAAGCCAGTTAGGTGGGCCCTGGTCTACCCACCCACTGAGGAGGGCCTGGTGGGCAAGGCTGCCCGAGGATCTGCCCCAGCCTTGCCCCAGGCCCACACGCTGGCCCAGGTCAGCACTCGCTCAGGGGTGCTCCGGGATAGAACCTCGGTCCTCACCACCGACCGGGCACACGGCTTCAAGCCCAGCCCCACCATGGCCCCTCATGCGTAAAAGCCAATGTCAGGGGCAGGGTGGCCACACTGATGGCAGAGATGGAAAAGCTGAGCTCAGTGGCAAGGCCCAGCCAGCTGCCCAGCCACCAGGTGTGAGGGACGGGCCCAGACCGGAACCACCATTGGCAAGGGGTCCCTGGGTGGCGGTGAGGAGGTGTTGACAGCCCTAGGAGCCAAGCCTCTGCCAAGGAGGATTAGGTTAGGGAGCCCAGGGCCCCCCAGGAGAATGGAGCCTTTGATGAGAGTGGGGTCCAGGTGCCAGGACCTCTGGGGGCGCAGCTGTGGTGTCTATGCCCACACTCAAGGCCGGGGAGCAGCCTGGCTACTGAGGCTCCAGGTGCATCTCCGAGCCTGCTGTGTACAGGGCTGCTGCCCTGGGTGGGGCTCCCGGAGGTGACGGGGACACAGGCAGGCCTGTGGGGCCAGCTTTGTCAGGCCTTAGGAGGGAGGCTTGGGGGCTGCAGGTGGCGGGGGACCCAAGCTTTGGAGCAGCAGGCCCAGCTGCACACTTCAACTGCGCTACCTTGGGGTCACTAGGGGGACAAAAGGAGAGAGAGATTAACAGGCGTGGCCCCAGCCAGGGCCACTCGGCACCAAGGCACAAGTCTGAGCCACCTAGTACCCCTGTCATCCCACAGGCCTGATCACCTCTGCCTACAGCGTCGCACTCAATCCCCCAGACTCCTTCCTGGAGGGAGTGGCCAGGACAGGACGATACACATTTACCGCAGGTGAGCCAGCCTGGAGGACATCTTACTTCTCAGGTCCCTCCTGGGACTGGCCTGGCTGTCACAGCCCTCTGGGCCCTTGACTCAGGCCCCCCGCCCCGTCTGCCCCCACAGCCGCCGTCGGTGCCATATTCGGCATCACCTCCTGCGTCAGTGCCCAGGTCCGAGAGAAGCCTGACGACCCCATCAACTACTTCCTCGGAGGCTGTGCCGGAGGCCTGACCCTGGGAGCACGCAGTGAGTGAGCCCACAGCCCTCCCTCCCCTGCTGCTCGCCTGCGTGCTGTGCGGGATGCTCTCTGCAGCCTGGCGGTCGCGTGAAAGCCCCTGGTGCTGCCGAACCTCGGCCACCGCCAGTTCAGGATCAGGAGCAGCTGCTGCTGCTGCACTCCACGTCACCAAGCCCTCCCCTTCCCCCACCCCCCGCTCACTGGCTCCCACCGCACGGGCCACCTCGCTGCTCCTGCAGCACGCCAGGTACCACCCTGCCTCAGGGCCTTTGCACAGGCCGTGCCCTTTGTGCGTCGTTTCCTCAGACGTCAGCACAGCTTCGTCTCACCAGCCCCGCTAAGTACGATGTAGGACGCCCGCCGCCCTCACTCCTTATCCCCCTCTGTCCGCCGTGCTTTCTCAAAGAATTTGAGGTCACTGCCTGTTCCACCGCCGGCCTGTGTGCACGGAGAGGGTAGTGCTGGGTCTTGTAGTGCCTCCCTCCCCCAGCACCCAGATCCCGGGCTGGCTGGACACACAGTCCTGTGGGGTGCCGCTCTCACCTCTCCCACTTCACAGGTGCAGCATAGAGCTCAGAGTGGCGGCTGAGGTGGCCCGAGGTCACCCGGGACCCAGCAGAGCATGCCTGTCTGGTGGGAGGGGGCTGCGCCTGCGCCAGCCTGGCACAGGGAGCAGACGCTGCTCTGCCCGCCTCCCACAGCCTCGGGGACTGGGGGGGGAAGCGGCCACACACAGCTAAACCGCCCTGGCCCGTGGCCCGGAAGGCAGAGAGGTAGGGAGGAGGGCCGCACTTTGAGGTGTTGGGTGAGGTCTGGGTTTGACAGACGCCCCGAGCCCGTGACAGAGACATGAGCCCCACACACAGCAGGCAGACCCCGTCCTGCGCGGCAGGTGATGGGGCACAGTCTCGGGCTCCTTGGTTTGCCGACCACGAGGCAGTTGCAAGGCCGGTGCCCGTGACCAGGGCACGGGCTGAGACTCCCCAGCACGTCATCTGCTCTGCCGCTTTAGTGTCCTGCCACCCAAGCCCCAGGCCCAGCCGCCTCTGCCTCAGTTTCCACACACGTCTGCAAAGGAGAGGGCCAGGGACTCTGCCCCTTGAGGGAGGGGCACCGTCTCAGGGTGGCAGACCGCCACCCGGGGTGGGCGCGGGGAGCCTCCCGTGCCTGACCCTGCCTTCCCCACCCTCACAGCTCACAACTACGGGATAGGAGCCGCCGCCTGCGTGTACATGGGCATGACGGCCGCCCTGGTCAAGATGGGCCAGCTGGAGGGCTGGAAGTTGTTCGCGGAGCCCAAGGTGTGAGCGCCAGCGCCTCCCGCAACCTCAGGCAGGTGCAGATGCGCCTAAAAATAAACTCCGTCTATATTTGTGCATTTGTCTCCCTTTTCTCCTCCCCTGCTCTCCAGGTGACGGTGACAGGCCAGGCCAGTGCCAATGAGGGAGGCCCAGGGCAGTTTTGGGAGGGAGCAGGAGATAAAGCGTCTGGGTTTGTTCCCGTCCGAGCCCGAGGCGCCAGCTGGGCCTTGCGGCACAGAGAGGGTGGTGGGCACGGGAGCCTGCCAGTGGCTGGCCGGTGAGTGGTAGCCCACAGCCCTTCCTGCCGCCCCCCGCAGGTCACGGGCCGTCCTCCGTCTGGGCCTCCTCGCAGAGCCAGCAGCATGTGGGAAACACACCCAGGGCCCACGCACAGCCGGACTCCGGACTCCCGGCCATTGGAGTGGAGAGCTTCAGATGGCCTGGTCCGGAGCCTTGTCCCTGTCTGACAGGCCACCAGGAGCTTGCGGGGCAGGGGCCCATGCAGCAGCAAGAGCAGAGACTCGCGGTCCTCACCCGCTGCCGTCTGTCGGGCGCAGGGAGTTAGGCGGCCCCGGAATGCTGGCCTCCCGGCCCCCGGCTCTGCAGAACTGGCTCGTGCTTCCAGGCAGACGGAGAGGAAGGCCTGACCCAGCACGCCGCGAGGGGCCATAAATTAGGGCTCTCCGGGCCCCACCCTGGGGAGCAGGGTTGTGCCCTGAGGAGTCTGGCTCTGCAGGTGGCCCTGGGGCAGCAGGAGTGGGCCGGGCTGGTCGCGGCCCTCATGCCCCCGCTGGGCCTGTCTCCACCCAGCCGTTCCGCTTCCCCTCGAGCCCACCCCCGGGCCTGGATTTGGTCGAAAGCCAGACTCGCAGCCTTGCTTTCCTCCCTGTCTGCCCCGGTCATAACTCAGCCGGCTGCCGAGCGGCTAAAATTAAACCCGTGCAGAGCACAGAGCCCAGGCCCTACTGTTGTCACCGGGTTGGCCGCCACTGCTGCATTTTTTTATTGTCCACATAGGCAACCCCAGGTCTCTTCCAGCTCTGCCCTCCCCTTTGCCCCCACCCACTATGCCGACACGGGACCCCTGCCGAGAATACCCTCCCTGGGTTCCTGCACCCGAACTTAGGGTTCCCCGCTCATGGGCTGGGAGGGGAGGGTCCCAGAGGCCCCACCCAGCCCGGAGGGTGCCGGGCTCCCAGGCCTGCGTTCCAGCCCCAGACGGTTCCTTCCTGGCTCTGTCCTCAGTTTCCCCACTGGGCAAGTGGGGGTGAAGGGTTAGTCAGAGATGTTAGGCAAGGCGGGCAAATGAGTGTACCCCAGGGGACAGAGCCCTTCCCCCGCCTCGGGGAGGGGGGGGCGGGGGACCAGGTCCGTCTCCTCCTGCAACAGCCTGGTCTGTCCCTGCGGCGGCCAGCAGGGGGCAGAGCCCACCATGCTCAGCCAGAGGGCCGACTTCCCCCCAGGACCCTGTCCCTGCCTCCCTATCCAAGCCACTGTCCACTCCCTCCCTCCCCTCGCCATCCTGCCTGAGGCAGCGGGGCGACAGATTCTAAGAGTAGGGAGGGCCTGTGATCATCGAGAACACCTCCGGCTGGAGCAGGGGGGGACCTGCTCACAGACCCGCACCTGGTCACTTCTCAGCCCCCGATCCTCAGCGTCTTCCAGAACCGGACCAGCCCTCGCTGCCACGCCTGCATAACCCTCCCCGGCCTTCGCACTGCCTCTGCGAAGCCCAAACCCTGTGCCCGGCAGAAACAGCCAGCCAGTCCTTTCCTACCTCCCAGCCTCGGTTTCCCCTTTGGTCAGCTCAGCCCAGGAACTGTGCTCACCGCCCACCCAGACCTCTCCGGGCTGGCTGCCAGGGTTGGAACAGATCTGCCAGCCCTCTCAGAGCAGCTGCCTGACAGGCTCCAGGGAGCCCTAAACCCCAGACCCCCTTGCCCATAAACATTTACTAGGCTGTGAGGAGGGGCTGACATCATCCCCACCCACACACAGGCCCGTGTCCAGAGCGCCCAGTCCCTCTACCCCTTTGCCTGGAACCCCACCTCCGGCCCTAGCGGCTCCCCACATGAGGCAGTAGAGGGTCCCCCCAGAGCTCCCTTCACCCCCACGTGGGGATGAAGGGGCCTTTCCAGATGTGCTTGAGGGGCAGGCGGTGAGCCAGAGGACAAGGCAAGCTCACTGGCCCTGTGTCGGGGGAGAGGGCACAGCAGTTGAGGGGGGGGGCCCTCCCATCCCCACCCAGACCTCTCCGCAGGCGCTCGCTAAGGACCCCAGCCTCAGAGACATACTTCCCAGTGGGGACAAGGGCTGTTTGGCCAGAGGGTCTCTGAGCTCTGTGAGCCAAACAGAGAAACGCCCAACCTTTCCCACCTGCCAGCTGTCCACGTTAGGCCTGCTTTACAGGTGAGGAAACTGAGGCCCAGGAAGGTGACTTCAGAGGGCCGGGCTCACGGGGGTGCTCAACACTGTCCCTTTGTTATTATTAGCTATATGGGGACATAGCATGTAAATTGTCTCGGAAAGACTTTACGATGGTCGTGGTTATTGGAACAAAAGCCAACCAGATGGACAAAGTCATCTAAAAGCAGAATTGCACCCCCGCGCATCCCTTCACAAGGTTGTTGGCTGTGGCCCGAGTGCCCGTTGGTGCAGCAGGGTCACATCAGGCCCCTGGGCTGGCACTGCCCCTGTCGCCAGGCCCTTCGGCCCTCTTGCAGTCTGTGAGCCCTGTGCGCCAGGGCCTGACCCAGCTGTGCCCACTCCTCACCCAATACGTGGTCGCACCCAAGTCCAGGCCATATCGCCACCCACCTGGCCCGGCACACTCGCCTCTACCCTGGCCCCCAGCTGCCACCCTTGCTCCCCGACTGCCACCCTTGCTCCCTCAATGGCCAGAGGGCATCTGTGAGCAAGAGTCGGTTCCTTCCCGCCTCTGCCCACAGCCCACCTGGGCTCCCGCCCCACTCAGGGCAAAGCCCAAGCCCTCCCCGTGGCCCACGAGCCCCCACACAGCCTGTGCTCGTCATCTAGTCTGCCCCACGCTCACGCTGCTCCAGCACACGGGCCTCCTCGCTGTCCCTCCAGCACCAGCCACAGCCCTGCCCCAGGGCCTTGGCACGGGCTGTGCCCCTGATGGACTGCTCTTCCCCAGATGTCCCCACAGCTACCCCCCTCACCTCCGGTTCTCAGCTCGGATGTCACCCCCTCATGGAGGCCTCCCTGACGCCCCACTGACATGCCGCCCCACACCGCCTTTACCCTCTTCCGCTTTTGCCCATGGCATTTATCAGCTTCTAAATCCCGTGTCACCATCATGCAGTGTTTAGTGGGACGTGTGTCTCCTTGAGGACCAAGAAATGTCCTGGCCGTTATACCCTTGGGACAGCAGCCAGCCTAGGAACACAGCAGGGCTCTGTAAATGTGTAGTCCCCCTCAGTCCACCCCAGTAGATGAGGGCTGCGAGGAGGGTCGGGGGAGAGAAGCCACCCGAACCCAAGTCTCGAAGTCACGACTTGAAACTCACTGACGTGTTTACTGAGCACCTACCTCTGTAAGGCACAGGCTCTGGCCTGGGGTCACCTCAGCCGGTAAGGTCCCCACCTTCCCAGAGCTCAAAGTCTGGTATGGAGGGCGAAATAGTAAAACAGACAATTGAAAAATGAGCAGACCCACAAACAACCGAAGAGTGTTTCACGCAGGGCCATGCTTGAGAGAAACCACGCGACCTGCTGGAGTGTAGTAGAGGGTCCCCAGCCGGCGGCGCTTGGGTGAGGACCGGAAAGAGCCGCCTTGGGCGCAGTCCTAGTAGGCTGGTCCAGGCAGAGGGGACCTAGAGGACAGAGGCTTCGGGCTGGGACGAGCGGCCTGCGCCCCCAGTAACAGGTAGGAGGCCCTGTGGGGGGCGGGTGGACCGTGGGGTGCGAGCAGAGGGCAAGTCAGGGCAGACTTGGTGCCGTGGGGGGCGCTGGCCGCCAGGCTCCACGAAATCCAGCTCGCTTCCACCGTAATGCTTGTCCTGGCAAACACCCCCTGGAGCAGTGCCAGCCACCTGGGCACCCTCAAAAGGGCTGTTCCGGGAGGGGCCAGGCCCGAATGCCCTGGAGGCAGATATCGCCACAGCTACAGAGTCCCCATCCTAGAGGGGACGTGGAGGTCTGAGGAAAGGAAGAACCGAGGGGGCCTTCTGGCTGGATTCTGGGGGGTGGGGGCTGGCCCATTCTCCCACCTGACCCTCGAAGCCCAAAGCTAGGCTAGTAGTCACTTTAGGGGTCTAGAAGTGGGGACCTGAGCCTTGCCTCACGCCCCATCTGACTTGACATCTAGGGCTCAGAACCCAGTGGGCCTCCGGTACCCTGGATGCAAGTCATCTCGGGCATCCCCAGCTAGTGAGGACTTTGCTTGTTGGGAAACAGGCACAGCAGGTCCCCCCGGTGTCCCCTCCACTTACCCTCCCCCCTCCCCTAAGTCCTTGGGTTTGGGCGAAGTGCTAAGCCTGGCTCGGCCCCCAAGCCTATATTGGTGCTCACAGGTCCCTCCTTGGAGCCCACTAACACTCCCAGTGGCTTCCCGGAGTGCTGGGTGGTCGTGAGTCATGAGGGACTCAGTCAGGCCTGGCCCTGGCCCAGCCCGTGTCTCACGTCAGGGGGCCTCGCTGGGCCTTGAACGTTCGCTGAACCATAGCAAGGAAGGTGTGAGCCAGGCGGGGGCAGGGCCGGGGCCGTGGGAGGGCTTTGGGCCCACCGGAGGGGCTGCAGGCAGACCCGCGCCCAGCCTAAATGCCCCCTCCTTCTCTTAAAACCTGTGCAGACGCTTTCATTTTGACCTTTTTTTTTTCCCCACAGCCGCCTTTCTAAAATATATTGTACAGTTAATTATTTTTCAATAGGTAAAACAGATTCAGGCCACAGAATCTAAAATATACCAAAGAGTGTTCAAAAAAAGCCTCAGCCACCTGCCCTCCCCAGGCACCCCCACCCTGCAGCCCCCCAGAGGCTGCCCCCAGAAACCCCCACCCTGCAGCCCCCCAGAAGCCGCAGGCCGGATTTCTTGCTTGCCCTTCCAGTGACACT